ATTTAACCCAAAGAAATGCTTATTTAAATGTTTCATATTTATTTCAGGATATTCAGTCAGAAATGTTAAAATCCGAACCCGATCTTTTCAGCTTACAACAAAGCTATTTTCAAAAAATTCAGCATGCTCACAATATCGATGAATCGGGCTACAGTCCATTAATACATTTTCATTAGGGAACAAGGGAACAGTGTTAACGTTTTCTCACGCACACCCGTCCCTTGTTATTTTATATACTGCTTGCAAGTTCAGGAACTATTTCCTTTTACGGAACTTCTTTCTTCCCCTACCGATTCTAAAAATACGCTTGTATTTATTCCATAGTCTTAAACAATTAACTTACTCAATTTTATCGGAATGTGTAGCGCAGTGGTTAGAACACCTGCCTTTCAAACCAAGGGTTTTGAGTTCGATCCCAGGTGGAGGAGGATTTCTTTTTTTTCTTTTTTTTTTTCTTTTTTTTTTTCTTTTTTTTCTTTTTTTTTTTTGCTTTTTTGGCATTTTTCTTTTTTTCGGCCTAAACGACACGAAAACACTTAAAAAGGTGGAAAGGCCTCTAATTGTTCTCTGAACAATTAGTTTACTTGTTATTATTAAGGTCTTTCGATATATATGATAAGATATGAATATGAAACTTGCTGAGGTGATAGAACATCAAATGTAGATATGTTGATCGACCATTATTTTCCGTCGTTCGTACTTCCGGTCGCAAACGGAAGTGAATTCAAAAATGTTAAATTTGTAACTTTTTTGTTTTTCAATATTTTTCTCTGGGATTTACAGGGTTAATAGAGAGTCTTCTAAGAGTTCTAAGTCTGTTTTTATCATTTTGATTGATGCATTTGTTGCAAAGATATGTAATACAAAGATAGATTACATGATCAGTACGTACTGGTCCCTGCTGACAAAGCAGGTAACAACATTGTCTTTGTTTGTAAGACTCATTATATTAAATGTATTTTAGAGGAACTTGGATTTAATTCTACAAGTAGTAATCCAACTTATACTCATAGTTCCCTTTCTAAGGAAGAACTTCTTCAAAATCATATGTCAGTTTTGAATATTTTTAATATTCCAAACAACCAAAATGAATTCGAATTACCATATTTATATTGGATTCCGAAACTTCATAAAAATCCTTACAAACAAAGATACATAGCGGGTTCCAGTATATGTTCAACCAAGCCTCTATCTTTACTACTCACTAAGATATTAACAATGGTGAAAGAGAAACTTCAAGAGTACTGTGCAACAATATATTCGAGAAGTGGTGTAAATCAGATGTGGATACTTAAAAATTCCAAGGAACTTTTGGAAAATTTGAAATCACAAGATTTTACCAAAATCAACAGCTTTAAAACTTACGACTTTTCAACTTTATACACAACCATTCCCCACGATAAATTAAAGTCCAGGCTTTTTGATATCATTGACAGCTGCTTTTTCAATAAAAATGGAACTCGTAAATATACTTACCTTGTCATTGGTCATTTGCAAAATTATTTTGTTAAAAAACATTCTGATTGTACACACAAGTACTCTGAAGTTGACATTAAAAAGATGCTTGAGTTTCTGATTGACAATATCTATGTGGTTTTTGGAGACCAGGTCTTCCAACAATCTATTGGAATGCCCATGGGTACCAATTGCGCCCCGTTATTAGCAGACCTTTTTTTGTATTCATATGAAGCAGAATTTGTCCAAAATCTTGTACAAGAAAAGAAGAAAACACTTGCTGTGGTCTTCAACTCGACATTTAGATATATCGACGACGTATTGTCAATTAACAATGGCTATTTCCATTCTTATGTCGATACGATATATCCTGGTGAACTTGAGATAAAAGATACCACAGAGTCTGAAACATCTGTTTCATATTTGGATATTTTACTTGAAAAAGATGTTAATGGTAATCTAACAACCAAGCTTTATGATAAACGTGATGACTTTAACTTTTCAATCGTCAACTTCCCTTACTTATGCAGCAATATACCTTCATCACCTGCATACGGGGTATATATCTCTCAGTTGATTCGATACGCAAGAGCATGCTCTACGTATGTACAATTTCTAAAACGAGGTAAATTATTGACAAATAAGTTGATGAAACAAGAATATCAGCTGTCTCGTTTAAAGTCATCATTTCGTAAGTTCTATGGTCGATACAATGACCTTGTCAGCAAATACAATTTATCATTGAGTCAAATGCTGACTGACGTTTTTCATACTAATTGTTAGGCCATTATTTACACACTGAATTGTCGACGGATTTTCCCGTGATTTCCCGATCATGACAAGGAGCACACGGCGGAAGTGACCGGTCGGCAGGGGATGCTCACTCCTCCATGGCACCTGATCCCACCTCTGATGTTTGGAGGTCCGTGTTTGCTCTGCTCCTATTTTGTATTGTTTAATGGACTTTTGAGCTTGAATACTGTTCGTTATCTCCATATCTTTCATATGACCGCATTTATTGCAAAGATATGACCGATCCAAACTTTCTCGTATTGTTGCGGTTCGAATCCTGCTGGGGCGGGAGATTGTTTCTCTCTTTTTTCAGTTGTAAATGATATTTTTCTCTGTGAAGACATGTGTGATAGTTTTTGCTTATTTTTTAAAGCTTTTTTTAACAGAGATTCTACAGAAATCCTTTAATAATCATGATCTATGTTGAAAGACTGTGTTACATAAACGCAAACAAAAAATACCTTCAATAAAGTATTAAATGAAGTGAGGTAGCACAGCGATCTGGAGAAAAGTTCGGTCGGAAGACCACTTGTTGCCCTAGCAACAAGAAACGCATCTAGTTATAATTATTTTTCTTCCTGGGTACTTTTTTGTCCGTGAGTGATCTCGTAAACTACACATCCGATTGAGGTGAAACCTTTTTAGGGTTAATAGGAATGTTATGTAGATTTGCGGAACGAAGGTCATTTTGCGCGCACGCGCATGCACGTGCGTGCGCGTGCAATGCGTAAAATGACCAATATACTTGATATAGCTGTAACTTTTATATTTTTTGATGAAATGCTTTGATACTCAGAATATAAGGATATATTAATAGTGTAGACAAGATGACATGGTCAGAATGCGCATGCATGCACGTGCGCGCATGCGCATTGATTGAAATAATCCATACAATTGATATAGACTTAACTTGTACATTTTTTGATGAATTGCATTGAAACTTAGAATATAAATATATATTAGAAGTGTACACAAGAAGACTTCATCAGCGCACACATGCATGTACGTGCCTGCACGTGCGCGCGCGTGCAATGAGTAAAATGACAGATATACTTGATATAGCTTTAACTTTCATAACTTTTGATGAAATGCTTTGATACTCAGGATATCAGGATATATTAATAGTGTAGACAAGATGACATGGTCAGAATGCACATACATGCACGTGTGCGCATGCGCAATGGTTGAAATAACCAATACAAATGATATAGACTTAACTTGCACATTTTTTGATGAATTGCTTTGAAACTCAGGATACAAATATATATTAGAAGTGTACACAAGATGACATGATCAGCGCACACATGCATGCACTTGCAAGCAGGTGCGTGCGCGTACAATGAGAAGAATGACCAATATACTTGATATAGCCAAAACTTTCATATCTTCTGATGAAATACTTTAATACTCAGAATATAAGGGTATATTAATAGTAAGGACAAGATGACATGGTCAGCGCACACATGCATGCACGTGCGTACGCGTGCAATGAGTAAAATTACCAATATATTTGATAACTATAACTTTTACATTTTTTGATGTAATGCTTTGATTCTCAGAATATATAGATATATTATAAATGTAGACAAGACGATGTTGTCAACATGCACTTGCATGCACATGCGCGCGCATGCAATGCTAAAATGACCAATATACTTGATATAGCTTTAACTTTTATACTTTTTGATGAAATGCTTTGATACTCAAAATATGTAGATATATTATTAGTATTGACAAGATGACATGGTCATCATGGCCATGCATGCACGTGCGCGCGCTTGCAATGCGTAAAATGACAGATATACTTAATATAGCCGAATTTTATTTTATCTTTTGATGAAATTTGAATATAAAGATGTATTAAAAGTGTGGACAAGTTGACATGGTCATTTTGTACATGCATGCCCGTGCGCGCGCGTGTAATGCGTAAAAAACCGAATATACTTGATTGCCTTATTTAATGAAGCTTACAGGGAATAAGACACCAAAAGGAAGTTGGGGAGCGTTTGGGGAACATCTGTAACGGTCCCCGTTACAATTAATACTAGTTTTGCATAATTTTACAATCAAAGTTTTTGGTTTTAGTCGTACATGTCAGTTCTTTTGTAAAACAGGCCCCGGATAGGTAGAACAGAATCTCGTCCCTGATCTTTGATACACCCTGTGCTTGGAGATAGTGTATTAAAAAATTTCAGGGCATTGTAATTGATTTTTAGCCAATCAATATTCTACAAATTCATCTGAAATGAGATATCATTTTCACACTGGCTGAAGAAAAGTTAGATTACCATTTTCAAAACAAGTTGGAGTACAATTTTAACAATTGTGGAAAAAAATTAAGTTAGATTACCATTTTCACACTGGCGGATAGAATCAAGTTAGATTACCATTATTCACACAACAGGTGGAAAGAAATCAAGTTAGATAACTTTTCACATTGGCGGACAGATTCAAGTTAGATTACCATTTTCACACTGTCAAGCAAGAAATGTTTTCTTTCCATGTCTGTGCAGTTATTCACTTGTTTCAAAAGTATTCAGTATATACCCATATAAAAATTTCATTTGAAATATAATTTTGTTGATGATTGTAAACAACAAAATACACAAAATTTAACCCCCCTATGAGTATTTCTGCTTTCTATACCGCTGAGAATATTTTCTGATTCTGAGATCTACAAATTTATTAAATTTATCTAGAATCTTTCTCCTATATGTAAAATAATGCAACCATTTCTGTCTTGATTGTTGCAGAGAAAGAGGAGAGATTGGCTAAAGAGAAAGAAGAAGAGGCTAAAAATCCAGAGAAGAAGAAAGTAAGTTTGTCCTAAGTTTCAGTGTTACGGCTGATATGAGGTGATTTATGGTTGTAGCTTATCACTAAGGACTACAAACCTAACTCTAATCATAATGCATGTTACTCACCAGTATTCAATTTATACAGTACCAGTACACTGCAGCTTCATTTTTCATTTGGCATTTTCAAAACATTCAAATGTAGTTATGAATTGTAATACGTCATGTAAATATTTTAATCTATTGAAGTTATTTTATGACTTTTAGCCTAAAAGAACTCGAAAGAAACGAGTGCCCATTCAGGCAGCGACAGCAGAGGAGGCAATATATAAGCTGATTCACGAGAAAAAGATCTCCAACAAGATAAATTATGATGTCCTTAATGACTTAAAGTGCCAGTCGGGTCCCCCTCCTGTTACAACTGCGTCCTCCCAAACCTCCCTCACAACCCCTAAAATAGACGATACAACTACTGTCAATCTGTGAGTCATACTAATAATCTAAAGTCAACTTTTTAAAACAAATATAAAAATCAGACCGGTACATAGAATATTTATAAAGTAGGTTTCATTCACAATATAGGTGGAACCCTACAAGTGAATGGTTTTACTGAACAACTTTATGACAATTTTTCAAGGATGTCAAATTGATCAATTTTTAGTAACCAGATACTCGCCTGTCTTTTTGATCAAGTACTCGGTCATTATTCAAGAAAAAATTCAAAATTTGAATTTATTTTTCTTCATGATCATATGTTGTTTTTTTAGATTGAACGTAATTTTAGGACCTAAATACTGACATTAAATCAGTCATAGGGTAAAAAGAAGAATTTAGAATATAAATTTTTTGATATAAATGCACTTAAGTATGATAAACAATTTTTTGCTGTTATGAGAATTTAGAAAGGTTTCTCCAGTATTTCTTCTATGTGGTTATGCTTAAAATGTGAACTATTTTGATTTAAACTGTGATTTCCAATCATTATCATTGTGTCCCTGGTGTAGCCACTGAATGGGATGCTGATGACTTTAATTGTTGTCAAAACTCGACAGGATCTTAAATGTACACTAGGTAATTGAGATAACGATACAATAATCTCTGAATTCAACGTAGAATGTGCTTGACAAATAACAATAGCAATGAGAAATATTGCATGATTTGATTTTTTCCAAGTAGTACTCAAATACTGATTTTAGTATTTGATACTGAGACCTTTCAATGAATACACGGTAACTGGTTATACTCATTTGACAACCCTACAATTTCTAAATCTGATATATAATCCTTTAATTAAAAACAGAATATTTGGTAAGAATTTGTAATGCATTATAAAGCTTCATTTGCCTGAGCACTGTTCAATTTATTTCTGTACCTTAACTTTATATGTGCTTTTGGTTGTTTTTTCCCCCATGATAATCAGGGCATTAAATGAATTTTCCAACACAATTACGTATGGAATATTTTTTTTTTTGTTTTTTGTTTTTTTTTGTTTTGTTTTGTTTTTTGTTTTTTTAAAATTGATGATTGTTACTGAATTGTACATTTTTATGCAGAGCAAAGAAAACCATGCCAAGTAGTGTCAAGAAAGAAGCAGAGGTAATGTCTGATTCAGTTTGTAATTTTATTTTTTATTGAATCTGCTCTGAAACTTATTAGCCAAAAAAAATCCAAATTTGGGAATTGAAATTCAGTGAATTAAAATAAATACCTTAAAAATTTGCCTTCTGTGCTGAAAAGTAACAAGTTTTTCTGCTGGCTGAATGTCATACAGTTATAAATCCTCAAATGAAAGCAGTAATGTTTTCAAGCTTTAGAAAAAAATACGATGTATTTAAGTTTGAATGGCTTTTATATTGAAAGGAACCAGAAAAAAAGAGAATGAAGCTTGAGAAGAGAGAGGATGAGGACTTGAATGCTGGTGTTAAAGAGGGAGAGACATCTGCTGTGGTTGTTGAACACGGGCCTGTTCAGTACATCCAGAATCTCAAAGAAGGTGGCTATCATACATCAGATATATCATGTTGTATAAAAACATGGAAAATGTTCAGTGCTATGTAAATACAATGTAATTTTATGTTATAAATTTTCTTTTTATTTTGATATTGATTAGAACTGGGCAAAAATACTGATTTTTAGACGTTAAGCTCTTTTTATTGATTTTTTACCTTGGTTCCTTCAACTTTCATACTAATGCTGTTATTGGTATCTTCATACTTTCTGTAAATAATTTCTATTATTAATATCCTTATGCTTTCTGTAGATAATTTCTGTAATTGGTGTCCTTTTGCTTTCTGTAGATAATTTCTGTAATGGGTATCCTTATGCTTTCTGTAGATAATTTCTGTTATTGGTATCCTTTTGCTTTCTGCAGATAATTTCTGTTATTGGTATCCTTATGCTTTCTGTAGATAATTTCTGTAATTGGTATCTTTATGCTTTGTGTGAATAATTTCTGTTATTACCGGTAATATTCTTATGCTTTCTGTAAATAATTTCTGTTATTGGTATCCTTATGCTTTCTGTTAATAATTTTTGTTATTGGTATCCTTATTCTTTCTGTAGATAATTTCTGTTATTGGTATCCTTAGTTTCTGTTAATAATAATCTAATGTTATTATGTCTCCCCTTCCAAGGGAACACATTGTTTTTGTCAATTTTCTTCTTCATCCAAATTTTGTCTGGGCTATAACTTAAATACCCTTTGACATTTAGACTTCAAACTTGGAACATAAATAGATGGCGTTGAGAAGGGGTGCATGTCACCAAAATTTTTTACTTAATTTGACCTATTTATAAGGTCAAGGTCAATATTTTACATAAAAAAAGATTCCAATCCATAACTTGAGAACCCTTTGATATTAGGACTTCAAACTTGTAACATAGAAAGAAGACATTGATACAAGATGCACTTCCTTCAAGGTCAAATAGAGAAAAAAACATGATTTGTCCATAACTTGAGAACCCTTTGACATTAAGACTTCAAACTTGGAACATGGAGAGGTGGAATAGAGGACAGGTGAATGCCAACATTTTTTATCACCTTGACCTATTAATAAAGTCAAGGTCAATCTTTTACATGAAAATATAGTCCAGGTCATAACTTGAGAACTTTTTGACATTAGGATTTCAAACTTGGAACAAGGAAAGACAACATTAAGACTAAATGAACTGCATCAAAATATTTGACCTTGACTGCTTTCTTCATTCAAAGTCAAATTAAGAAAAACACGACCATACCATAACTTGAAATCCTTTTGATGTGAAGACTCAAAATTTTGTACACAGATTGAGGAATTTGAGCTGAGATGCACGACATTATTATTTTTTACCTTGATTGTATTATTGCACTCATTAATGTTAGTAAAGAAGGGGAGACATGTGGGGTTTTTTTGTAGAAAAAAAAAAACAGTACCCACTTGTTTTCATTTAATTTTGTAAATAGTATCTGAATGTTTTTTTTTAATGTTGTTGTTAGTATCCTGATGATTTCTTTAGGTACACATAATTTTGGTTCATTTGTAACGTGATTATTTCTGATTTCTTTGTGTCCTGATATTTACAGAAGAAGCCAATCTGGAGGAGGAAGAGGAGGAGGAGTTTTATGATGAGGATGAACCAATCAGTGCTGCCCAACTTCTGGGTCATCATCAGGTTCAAGGTTAGAATTCTACCTCTTCCTTCAGAGATTCTTGCTTAGCATGACTAATTACTGTAAACAGGGAAATTTTTGACGCCGTTTTATTTTCGCTTCTTTCGCCCTAGACACAAATTGGGGAATTTAAGACCGGGCGAATTCAAATAAAAAAGTATGATCTCTTATACAAAACTGAGTGGGTGAAATTAAAATGGGGCAAAATTGTTTGCAAGTGTGAAAGGGCAAAAATAACACTGGGCGAAAAAGAACCCTGTATACAGTAATACACTCAATCATTCAAGAAAAATACAGTGTTTAGTCCTGTATGCTGTTAATAAATGACCATTCATCACAATTTTGGAATAATTTTAATCTGTTTGTACTCGAGGTTCATTAACTGTGTATGTTTGAATGGAGAATTAAATAAACATTTTGAAGTAAAATCAATTCACCTTTAGATAACCTTTTCAGACTATGATGATCCTGACTTGTATGATGATGACTGAAGACACAATCTGAACAGAAAGAAATCCACAGATTCTATTACTAAAGGCCAGTAACTCCTTTCAAACCCAAACTGGGCTATGGAAGGCAGAAAGTAGGCACTGCTGAAACATGGAACAACACATTATTATGCAGCCCTGTGTTTCCAATTGAATAAAACAGGATGAGACCATAATAGATGTTTTGATGTTGCAAATAACAGCGGTTGCAAAACTTAATTTTTTTAACATTAGGGAGTTGATTTAGAATGAAATGAATGGCATCTGTACCTAACATTATTCATAGTTACCGGGTAATTTGTCAACTTTCTCCAGGTTAGTGAGATGAGGTCAAAGAATTTCTCTTGATTTACTTGAAAGCATCAAATCTGAATATCAGCATTTTATAACTTCTCAATTTTTCCCCTCTCTGGTAACCTTGAAAAATGTCATTTCTACTACAGAATGGTATTAATCATTTGATTCTTCTTATGCTGAATTATAGACAAAATGCAGTGCAATAAAAGCTGATGAATTGGTAGTCTTTTTGTTAAAATGAAATGTTAACTTTATATAATTAATTTATTGAAGCTGTGACTGAAAAAATACTCAATTTTGGCAAACAATTGTATACCAAGAATTTTTTAACATTAAAAGTGTAAAAAATATTGTTTGTTGTTTATTTGCAAAGTGTGATCTCAGCCCTGCTTTCATTGTAGAGTTAAAAAAGTCATTTTTGCTAGAAGTGACTTACTATAGTTTGATTTAAATGGAAGTACAGAAAGGTAATAAAGCTATTTCATTTGGGGAATGGGGGTGGTAGTTTTTTTGTTTATATATATATATATATATATATATATAATGTGCAACTCAACATAGACTGGAAAAGGGAAAGCAGTGACACTTGTATCCAGCCCTTACCATTTTTGAAAGTAAAGTGGTAGAACAACCCCCTATGTCCACTTCCATCTTTATCTATGCATATTGCATTTTTTAGCTCACCTGAGCTGAAAGCTCAAGAGAGCTTTTCTGATCACATTTTGTTTGTAGTCTGTCTGTCTGTTCGTCCATCTGAAACTTTTCATATTTTTGACTTCTTCTCCAGAACCACTGGGCCAAATTCAACTAAACTTGATGCTTTCACTGGGCCAATTTCAACCAATTTTGCCACAAAGCATCCTTTGGTGAAGGGGATTCAAGTTTGTTCAAATGAAGGGTCATGCCCTCATTCAAGGGAAGATACATGTAATTCAGAAGTTGCATGTTTAAAAAATCTTCTCAAGACCACTGGGCCAAAAAAGTTGAAACTTATAGGAAAACTTCTTTACATAGTGTAGATTCAAATTTGTTCAACTGATGACCCCTGGGCATAGGGTGGGGCCACAGTGAGGGGTCAAATTTTTTCATATGAATATAAAGATAAAAACTTGAAAAAGCTTCTTCTCAAGAACAGCAAAGCCATGTTTAGTCATATTGATATGGAAGCATCTGCAGGTAGTGTAGATTCAAGTTTGGTCAAATGATGACCCTGGGGAGTAGGGTGGGGCCACAATGGGGGATCAAAGTTTTACATTGAAATATATAGGAAAACCATATGTTATATTGATATGGAAGCATCCTCAGGTAGATGTGGCCCATGGATCTCTTGTATAGAATAAATTATGTTAAACACTGAAACTTGTATGATAGCTACTAATATTCTAATTTTGGTCCATGTATGTAAGGGAGACTATATATATCCATTCCTCATGTTCTGATTGAAATTGATAGTTAGAATAACAAGTAAATTGGATCTTGATTCACGTGATTAGTGAAAATTACATAATACATGGAGCTGTAATAAAAACAATGTTTTTCAAAAAAAAGTATAGTATTGTTTGGAAAGTTAGATCACCAGTGTCCAAATGGCAAAGTTGATATTATAATATAGGTGTATATATATTAGAGAAAGAGAGAGTTCAGGGGAGCCAGACTGTAACATTCATCTGGTGCATTGCATTTAAGCCATTCCAGTTTAATTTCTATGTTTAGTGTCCACCCATCTTTCATAATCCTACCTACCTATTCACAAAAAAAACATACTGAACAAAAAAAGCAAAACACAGACCTTATAGTCATTATAATCATTCACAGGATTTGATTTCATAGAATTTTTTTTTATCAAAGAAAGATGTATTCCTTAGCAAAGTCATGATATTAAATGCTTAAAATATACCTAAAATGACATATTGTAGGCAAATCATAACAAAAAATAAGAGAACTCAAAGATTTAGAGTAGAATAATCAATTTCAGGACTCCTGTATTTGTTTGTTTTTTCTGATGTTGGGTGTCAAAAACCAAGGTGCACACGAACATTAAACATAGAAAAAAAACTTGGAATGACCTTACTCTATTTTTTCATGTCATTTGTGTCAAAGCCCTGAAGGTAAGAGGTGAAAATATATGACAGGGAGAAGCAAGTGTTCGTACTGTAGTATATACCTTCAAGTGCAAGGACATTCCAGGACTGAGGAGGCTCAGGCATGTGTTGGACGGTCCATTCTGTTCACTATAGTGGCCAAATCTCATATAGGAGATCACATGTCTTAATTATAGAATCATTATGGTTCTTTGAATTTCTCTCCCTTCCTATTGCATTTGAGCCATCCCATATGCCCTGAGAGGGACAAGGAGAAGACCTTCCATGGAAGAGCTTTGGTTGGTATTTTTAGTGGAAAAAGATGCTTAAGGAGGGAGGAATGTGACAGTCAGGCAGACTTAATTACAATGGCCGGTTAGCTCTGTTGGTAGAGCACCTGTCTAAGAGTTCATGGAGTTGGGGTTCAAATTATAGTCTAGCCTGTTGGATTTTCTGGCTCCATTTTTAGTAGCAAAGATGCTTTTTTTCTTTTTGGTTTACTGGTCAGAGACCCACTCTGAGCTCCTCAGGTGGCTCGTGCCTTGCACACTAACCTCAGGCATAAACGGTGTTCTACCATTTTGCTGATAAAGCCATGTGACCTTAATTGAAATTCCTCCAAATGCTACACCTTTGAAATCTGAGTTACTTTGTGGCACGCCAACACTGTGTTTTTGCTTTCAAAGATTAAACTAACATAAAGTTGTAATCAAAACCAATATACAAGGAAAAATTAGACAAGTTAAAAAAACTTTTTGAAGAACTTTGTGCAGAGTGAAATATGAAATGAGTTACGTGGCATTATCCGGCGGAGAAATGTATCGATTTGATGCATATTCCTCCACCAATCACATCCAAGGTTTGTATGGAGCATAGCAGAGTCAGCCGATGATTGCCGATTGGTCAGAGACCAGAAGAGTTTATTGTGAAATTCTTTCAAAATGATAATCATTCTACAGTTTTGATATGATTTCAATAGGACGTACTTGATCGATCCACAAGTAGACTGGGCTTATAAGATACACAATAGGACTTGATTCACAAGTAGACTGGGCTTATAAGATACACAATAGGACTTAATTGATACAAAAGTAGACTGGGCTTATAAGATGCACAATAAGACTTGATACACAAGTCGACTGGGCTTAGATACACAATAGGACTTGATACACAAGTAGACTGGGCTTAGATACACAAGTCTGTTTACCTAGGGTTTTATTTTAAATGAACAATGTTGCAATAGTTAACGGTTACTAAAAATGATCCATTTTATTTCCTACTTTTATTACTCTTTCAATAGGCTTATCCTCCTAATTACTAGTCATACTGAAATTGGATCCTTTGATCTGCTCGTAACCAGATCACTACATATACATGTATGCAACAATCTAGTCTGCTAGTAGAGCTGCAGGGTCAAAGGATCTAATTTTTGCATTATTATAATTATGTGTTAACTTGCTCAAGTCTCTCTATTGTTTATGTTATTTATTTTATTAATTTTTTGTCCAAATTTTTACTATTTTAGGAAATCTGAACCTCCATACCACTTTAAACAAATAAAACAGAGACTTGAGCTAGTCCAATACATTTGTCGCAAACTATATCGATATCGGGCAATCGGGGAACTAACTTTAACCAAACCCAATGTGCGTTGCACGTAGGCGTAGTTTCGAATATTATAATCCTTTTTTTTTTTCTTGGTCCAGTATGGATTTAGGTTCCCCACTTCAAATTAAGATTATCATGCTATTTCTCGAAGACCTTTTTTCATGTTGTCGAAAAAGAGGAAATGCGTAGTTTTCACTATAATAATAATTAAAGGTGAAGGCCATAGGTTCAAAGTTCGAACTTTGATTTTGCATACAGACGACAGATGTTGATGGTTTGATTACAGATTGACGGGTTTAAAACATTAGATAATGTAATTATTTGTCAAAAACGTAACAAGTTGTAGACGTTGTGTATGTGTAGCTATGATGAGTGAGTTTGGGTCGCTTGGCGATGGAATTAGAAGTTCTCGGAATCCTTCATCTCGGAGTTCAAATGATAGACTTTATCCAAGTCTGTTTCCTTCTGACGAAGAGGCGGAAAGTGACAATGCAAGTGAGTTGTCGGTAGACAGCGAAGCCAGAGCAACACCTCCCCCTGTGAGACTGAAAAATCCCCTATTTCCTAAAAAGGAGTATGTTGATAAGTTAAGACCAGAGGAAATTCGGTGGTTTTACAAACAGGATGGCGATAAAGAATGGACGCCGTTTATTGGATATGATTCCTTGAGAATAGAATGTCGATACCGGGCGTTACAAAATGTAGAGGATGAAAAGGAAATTGACACTGATGTAATTTTGGTTCTTGGTGGTTTATACCAAGTAGATGTCTCCAAAAAGAAGTGTACACCTGTGTATTGGTCAGGTGTGTATTGTTAGCTCACCTGAGCCAAAGGCGCATGTGAGCTTTTCTGATCCAAGGCTGTCCTACTTCCGTCTGTTGTGTGTTGACTGTCGTCTGTACACTTTTCACTTTTTCAACTTGTTGAGAACCACTGGGCCTATTTCGACTAAACTTTACACAAAATATCCTTAGGTAAAGAAGATGCAAGTTTGTTCCAATGAAGGGCCATGCCATCTTTCAAGGGGAGATAATTTAGGATAAGTTCAAGGCATGGCCCTCTGGACTAGGGCGGGGCTACAAAAGGCAAAAGTTTTACATGGGAATATATAGAAAAAAATCTTGAGAACAGCAATGTCATGGATATTCATATTAATATGGAAGATATTTTATGACACCCACTCAATTTATGCCTTTTTTTTATTATCTCCCCTTTAAAGAAACTGTGGCTTTTTATTTGATTAAAAGAACTGCGAATGATAGTATTGTTCTCCCGCCTACCTCCAAGTCAATTTTCAAAAGTTAACACATTTGAATGATTTTTCATATTTATGTAGATATTTATATGAATTTTCATAAAACTTTACTTATTTGGGAAAACAAAGAGAGGTAACTCTATAATTTTGGTAAAACTTGTGTTTTTCACTATAGAAATCAATGAAAATAATTTTTTTTAAACATTTGTTTTGCATTGAACAAAGTTTTACGGCCAAATTGCCATTAGTATTGAATTAAATGGGTGTAAAATGTAGGCGGGAATCGAGAGTTAGTGTGCATAGTTCTTGAATACCCTTCACAGAAGGATGTTTTGGGATATTAAAAGGTTGGTTGAAATTGAGATAGGTGATTCTGGAGAAGTCAAAAATGTGAAAAGTTATCAGATGAAAGTCAACAGATGGACAGAAAGAAACACAATGGATGACAGGTGATCAGAAAAGCTCACTTGAACCACTGGTTCAGGTGAGTAATAAATGATAATGAAGTCAAACAATTATAATTTACAGTGTGTTCTTGGCCAGTTATTAAGTTGCAGTTTTGAGATGCCTCAAGATATGAAGTCGGGTTCTAACGCTTTGATATTCAGAGAGGATCTAGAGTCCATCCCATGGTACCAACTTGACTTTTTACATTATTTCTCAATTTAAATACATGAATATTTTGATCAGTAGATCAATTAATCCCCCCCCCCCCCATTTTTCTGCTTAAAAGAAATCCCAAAAGTTCAAGTATATTATATTGACACTGCCTAATGGGATTTAACATTACTAAAATGGCCACCACTTTGGAAAGGGATCCATCATTATTCATGCATGCATGATTTTCCATTACTTGCCATCAATAAGATAATGATGTAGCTCATGTTTGGAATCTATTTATAGGTCTCGCTCAGATAATCTATGGAAATATTTTATGACAACTCCTTCGTGCACTAAATTGACACCAGTGGCTGAAATTCTCATTTTTAATTTCTATAGACTTTGAAAATTGTGTCAAACAAGGTTAAAGCTTCAATTTATATCCAAGCAGATGAAGAATGATTTTCAGCCAATAAAGTATTGATGATCAGAATTAAATCACTGTTGTTAATTACTTAAATGGAGAAAACACATGCAAATAATAATGAGTTTAATTAATTCATCTTGGTCTAATAAAATGATAAATTGCATGAAAATGTCACAGAAATAGAACTCTTTTTTTTGTGTGCAGTGTATATATTATAGGGGCCTAAATTTTCTATTTCAGGACTAATAAATTTGGCATTTTTCATTTAAATGCACTATTATATAGATACTATATTTATCTGAGGGTAACATTTGAAAATTTTCACCCTAAGAAAACCATTGTCAACTGAGGCTCAGGGAGTGAAAAATTTCAGTGTTACCCTAAACTACATGCAGTATTTATTATATACTGAATGCTTTATACAAATAAAGGTGAAGCACAGTGCAATGATTCAGCACTGTCAATATTTTTTTTGGAATATCACATGTCATCAAGCAATGTTGACTTTTGCTAAGTTCTATTGGCTATTCATAATTGTGCTGCAGGGTGTAGTTTCATTATTCAGAGGGTAACTGCCTTTTTTTTCACAAATATTCCTCGATGAATCAAATTCATGTAGTTTACATGAAAGTACATGTATAACATTTCCTAATATTAAATTTATGAGAATGAACAAAACCTTGGCTAGTTGATGTATGTTTATTTAAAAAGTAAAAAAAAAAACAGGGTAGTAAAATAAATAAAATTGAATATTTTTCTTATCTGCATGTGCCACAGAAATTTTGTAGTTTAAATTTCTGCAGATCGAAGAAGCTTATTGTAGACCTAAGCTACATGTATAATTCTGATACTTTTTTCATTGAGTACCCCGGTACATATGTTCTTGATTTAAGATGAAGTACCCGACCAGTGCTTCTGTTCAAACAGAGATGGCCAGTGGATGTTTACATATAATACTAAGCCTATGTTATCCTTTTATTATTGCAGAGATAGGAGGGAGTATCAAGGTGTAAACAGTATATATTGATTGGTCATGTGGTAACAGATGTACCTAGTTCATATGTACTTGTAATATTGAAGTTTGACTGGTCAGCATGAACACTGAAGCATGTGATACTTTATTAATATTTCTTTTTTTATAAAACGTATAGTGGTTCAAGCTGGAGGTCATTTTTACATGCATATAAATAATTATATAAAATTTCATGGTATACATGTTGAATGTACAGTCATATATAAGAACAAATGACCCTCATGATGAATGCAATTTGAAGCATATTTGGTCCATATTTACCCACTGTACCCAGTAATTAAAGAGAGAAAACATTATTATCTATCCTCACTTATATAAGGAACTCAAAGATCTTTAACATTTAATCATTTATGTGATTCTGATTAATACATACTAAATGTATAACAGGTTTTTTTTCTACTGTGTTTTGTAAAATGACAAATTGCTTGCTTGATATACTGTAAAATTTGATTAATGTCCTGTAGCAATTTAATTAGGCTGTCCCTGCAGATTCTCTTTATCCATGATTCAATGTAGATAATTTTCTTTCACAGTTTTGCTGGTATATATATAAATGTACATGTTATTGTGGTATATATTTTCAGATTTAGTAGAATGGTTATATCACACAAGTTTAACCTTCAACAATTTTGACATACTTAGGTGATGAGTCCGACATTACACAGGGTCTTTGGTTCTATGAATATAATGGACAACCACTGGAGGATGGCTACGGAATCCAGATAGAGACAGAACATGTTGCTAAATTCATGGGGCACAGTTTGGAGCAGGAACATCTCTCTCCACAGAAAGGACCAAAACCAGGTATAGGAATATTGTCAAAAAACTACGATCATTGCAGTGTAAATTTTTGTTCTTATTCAAATCGCTTACGATGTCTCCCTCCCCAGCTAGGTACTATATCTACCAGTATATAGTCCTAGCTACAACAAAACTGAAAACACCACTACACCTCTTATAACTACATTGTATGTAGTATAAACATACAAGTGCAGGTAACACTTAAGTCCAATGAGTATAACAGAGATGCATATTTATATAAAGATTACTGTATACAGGGTTATTTTTGTCCCATGTTATTTTCGCCCTTTTACACTTGCGAACAATTTTGCCCCATTTTAAATTTGCCAAGTCACAATTCTGTTTAAGATATTATACTGTTTTTTTAATTTGCCGCGTTTTAAATTCCCACCTGTGAGTAGGGCGAAAAAGGCGAAAATTTCCCTGTATACAGTATGTTAAAAAATGCAAACACAAAATAATACACGTAATGATCGAGAGAGAAACAGCTAGTTACTTATAGTATGGTTAAGCTTACAGCAATTTATCCAAAAAAAGACTGTCACAGAAATTTTTTTTTATCCCCCCTTTTCCCATACATTTGATTTCTTGATTTCCTTGTAGTGCAGCATTCCATGAGATTTACTGACTTTTACATAGAATGGAATCATCCTAATGAAATTTATCTGTACAGTGAGGCAGCATCATCAAGATTTGTACGAGGCTTTAAAAAGAAACTGGGAATGCAGAAAGGTATTTGCTTTTAGCTCACCTGAGCCAAAGGCTCAAGTGAGCTTTTCTGATAGAATTTGTCTGTTGTCTGTCCTCATCCTTGTCCTCATTGTCGTTGTCGTCATTGTAAACTTTTCACATTTTCATCTTCTACTCTAGAACCACTGGGCCAATTTCAACCAAACTTGCCACAAAGTATCCTTTGGTAAAGGGGATTCAAATTTGTTCAAATGAAGAGCCACACTCTTTTGGAAGTCCCAACCCTTTATTCTTTAAGTATTTTACCCTGGATATCTAGAATACTCAGATATCTCAAAGTTTTTTCTTGGTCCCACTGAGTTTGAGATAACAAGGTTTGAATGTAATATAAAAGCATCCTCAGGTAATGTAGATCTGAATTGTTAAGTGACATCCTTTGCTCTATTTGGCAAATAAATGAACATTAACAATTATTGCTTCCAGGCTATATCAACAAAGATCACTCTTCAAAAGGCTAAAGCATCCACTCAAAGCTACAGTAATAAGCATGAAAAATATTTATTTGCATAGTTTATGTAAATGGGGTTTTTGTTTACTTTATTGCAGTTGACTATTGATTTTGATTATTGCCATGGTCATTTGAGGCCATATTTACATATATATACTCTCAAAATCAAAGTATCAAACACTGCATGCAATGCATACATGTGATATGTACCGGCTGTACGCAAAATGTACAGTTTTTCGAGCCCATTCATCGTGTACCGGCGGGACACCAAAATTCACGGAATATGAAAATTTGCACAGTATTTTGAATTTCTCGCTAAATGCCGCTATTTTCCTCTCATTCTCGCTCGCGAGACACTGGAAACGTCACCTGTGTTTGACACTTGACCTTCTGATAATTGTGTAGTGTACACAAACCATCCCGTGCGAAGGTGTGAACTGCCAATTGGGATAATTATCTTGCTATAAATCCGTATCAAATACCCCTTTAGGTAGCTTTATTTTTTAAGGGGTACTTAATTACTGTTAATGTTTCGTATACGTAACTTGATTTAAAAAAAAAAAGCCAAATTTTAAAGTTGATATACAGGACTTAATATACGTGAATCTGACCAGTGCTCGAGCTGTGAGGCACGATGTTTCGGGACCACGACGTTTCGGGACCTGACTAATACGACGTTTCGGGACTAGCAACAAGACGGTTCGAGACTTGGGTAAAGACGATTCGGGACTTGAGTTAATTTTTTTCGGGATCTAAACAAATTATTTTATTATGGTGATATAGCATATTATTCTAATTACACTTAGTACGTAATATTCCAAGCTAAATTCGAATTTTAATTTTTATGTATATATATAATAAAAATTGTCATAAAGATATACTTTGATGGAGGTTTTTTCATAACAGACGAAGAAGAATAAATCTTTACAATATTCATTTTTATTTCTTTTTATTTTTTTTATCAGTTTTTTTTATTAGTTATTTTTTCTTGTGTGTAGTGATGGGGGGGGGGGTCCAAAATTTAATCTTCTCAGGTTGATGATAGATATTTTAAAATATTCAAGTGATCTCCAGCTACCGTCGAATATATCTTTAAAAAACATGTCAGTAAATTGTTAAAACAACAACTGGGATCAGGTACACATATCCCAACTGATACTCTGTACATAGGGAGGTGTTACGTACATGTATAAAGACGCCGCCGGTAATGGGAACTAAAAAGATTGCATGTGTGGTTTCTTTTGAAATTATTTTAAGAAAATAAAAATCTAAAAATATGGAAAAAATATCGTTTGTTTATTGGTAAATGAAATAATTCAGAATCAAACAATAGTTCAACAAAATATAAAGGTTTTCAAAATGTTTTGATCTTGATTTTGTCTACCTTTTCCCAAACGGTTTCAAATATTTTTTTTCCAAAAAGTTTTGGCATAGTATCTGTAAGATTCTTCCCTGGAAATGTTACGAAAACATTTTTAAAGTTTCCAAAACATTGTAAATAAACATATTTTACAAATGTTGCGAGAACATTGGCCCTAAATTTAAAAAAAAAATACCATACTTTAAAAAAAGCATTAAATGGTATAAACAACATGATTTCATTTGATATCGTTTCAAATAATGTCTTTAAAAACATTTTAAATTTCATCATAGCTTTATCTATTTAATGTGGCAAGGTGGAAATTTGAAATTTAAGTTGACCTGTTAACGTAGTCAATGTCGAATGTCTTTTAAACACTTTTACAACGTACATGTAGCATGAAAAATTTAATATTTGCAAAATAAATAATATTTAGTATTTATTTACAGTTTTATTTAAAGTTTGTCATGTACCTAACTATGTAACACCACATATAATATTACGCACTGGTCGGGTAAATAAGATCGATAATTGAGTTTCATTGAGATTTGTAGTCTGTGTATACACAGTAAACATATAAATTCATGCAGACATCCATATCATTGTATACAAATTAACAATTTTGATAGTACAATAATATATAGCGGGAATATTTGGGACTTTCGTGGGAATAATTTTTTTCTAATTAAAATAAATGAATAAAATCGATTACTTTCATCATTTTTCTTAAGCTATCGAGTACATGTACTTTGCATAGACGAAGAAATTGTCTAACTTTGAAACGTTAAGATGAAAAATAAGTTAAACGTGTTTATATTTTGAAAATTAGTAAGTTTGGTTTATTTCCAAATGTTGCATACATGGTATATATATACACATCATACTTTCAGTAAAATTTACTTTACAAGCTGTTCTTTGACGTTATATAAATACATGCTGATTTTCTTACCCATTTCGTTTTTTTTTTCCTTCTCTGCTTAACGTATACATGGATGTGTAGGAAGTTTATAGCTTAAGTTATAACATTTCTCTTACCCGTAACATTTTGTATAAATTTGCTTTTATGATTTTTCTGCATATATAACCTGAAATAATAATTATAAATTTTATACATTGATGTTTAAAAAGTTGAACATGGAATATTTCAGATTCTGATTTAAAACAACTACCCGTAAAACGTAAAGTTTTTACTACACATGTGCTAGCTTGAGCCTTTGTAAATTTTGTAAACAAATATGAAATCAAATACCTAAAATTATTATTAAAAAGGAGAGAAAGAAAGTCTTAGAAAGAAAAACACGTCCGTGGTCTTCACACAGCAGTTACGATTGTCTCCCGGCTTTAATTCTACAAACTCCCGTATCAAACACTATAAATAAATCAAATACATATTCTAAAAAAAAAAAAAATTGAATTAAATTTTGGTCAGATGTTAATCAAATACTTTATAAAGGTAATATATCAAATACTGTAATAAGAAATTAAAGAGACAACACCGCGGGCGTTTGATTTTCTCGGCAGGCGTGCTCCATGCGGCAGGCAAACTTTAAAACTAATAAAAACTCCAATCAGTGCTTCTTAAATTATAAATTGTGTATCAAACTGAGAAATTATACATGTCTAAACATAAAAACACAAGTAAACAAGTTTTATTTCATTTCCATTACAAAATATTTAGAAGTCCCGAAACGTGTTAGCCCAAGTCCCGAAACGTGTTAACCCAAGTCCCGAAACGTGTTGTCAGGTCCCGAAACGTCGGGGTCCCGAAACATCGCGGTCCCGAAACATCCATAATTCGAGCTGTGATTCGCCATTTGCGCCAATTGCGATTTTTTTCCAAAAGTGGCGAAAAGAAATTCAAAAGTGGTGAAAATGAATTTTTTTCAGATATACCAAACAAAAGTGTGTGTACTCCTGGCTATCTCCTTTGTTTATTCAATGTATACAGATTAGCCCCTTTGTTTATTTAATGCAAGCAGACGTGTGAATTCAGGCTGTGAAAACTCCGTGAAACGTACAAAACAATGTACATGTAGGAAATCACGTCTCGCTTGAACGCACACAGCTGACAAGGTAACTTCAGCCTGGAGCAGTAAGGGGATACAAAATTACTTGAAATAATATAAGATGGATTAAAAAAGGAAAGACAAAGTGTTTTTGGGAGATGAAGTTAGTTAATAAAAGATTTTAATCAATAAAATCTGGATCTATATAGATCGTTTTTTAAAACCGAAAGTAGGAAAACATGACGAAAATTGCAGAGCATGGCTGCTAATTTTACCTGATTAAAGTCAAAATAGTGTGTTCATTTATACCATAAACTGACAAAGAGTGAAAGAGATACTGGCTTGGAAACAAAACAATACAATTATGCTGAATTATTTTCAATTATATGAATTTACATGATTGCATACATCCAGTGTCCAACAGTCCAAGTTGTTAAATTTTAAACCTGATTTTGATTACTTCTTTTCACGATAAATTGTTGATATGATTAAATTTTTCACTTATTATATTATTTTTTCATTTTTAAAAAAAAATTCATTTTTTTTTACTAAGTCTGTAACCCCCCTCCCCAGGCTAAAAAAAATGTTATGAACAAGAGGACATCTACTGTCAAGAGTTGGCTAATATCAATGTAACAGAGACATTTTGTGCCTCTGCTGGGGATTGAACCCGGGGCCTCTGGCTTGCCAGTCCAGTGCTCTACCAATTGAGCTAAAGGGTTAACCCACTAGCCCAAGCTAGTAGGATGCCATGTATCTTACACTACCACATTGTCCCCCTCCAGAGAATGAGATGTCCTCATCTCTTTTGGAGTGCCGACGCCTGTGGGGCGAAGTTCTGGGGGCAATCACTTTCACCCGCCAGAGAACACCCGGGTCCCAACGTGGGCGCCAAATGTAACAGAGACATTTTGTGCCTCTGCTGGGGATTGAACCCGGGGCCTCTGGCTTGCCAGTCCAGTGCTCTACCAATTGAGCTAAAGGGTTAACCCACTAGCCCAAGCTAGTAGGATGCCATGTATCTTACACTACCACATCAATATCAAATTAATTATATAAATGTAGAAATAATTCTTATATTAGTTTTGTAAGTGGATACAACTTTAAATTTTACAATTTTAAAACAATGCCTGTGATATAAACAAATTGAAATAGTGCTATTAGTGGAGTGATTAGCATTATATACACTTGTCGAGACGAGATGTAAGATTGCAATTCTTTTCAACGTGAAAAATGGCCAAAAATATTTTCGGTCCAGTGGGAGCTCTGAATCTGACCCAGATCTTCGTAGGTATAAAATATACGATGTTTATTACAATGAATACTATGGAATTTCAGAAGAATTTAAGCGATATTTTATACCATTTTTTGTACCGTTTTTTGATAGGCAGTGTACAGTTTTTTCACCCAAATTCCAGTTTTTTTATGGCTCCTGTACAGTTTTGTGGTCTTTGACTTATCACATGTATGGCAATGCTACCACTTTTGAGGTCTGAATCTCCCTCTTTTTAATCATAGTATAGGTAGCATGTATGGTTATACAATAGTCATGTACTTTACATTATACTTTACCAGCTGGTACAAGGCTGATTCGAGGCTATAAATATGAAGCAGTGATGGATGACAAACCAGCTGACATTTCTCATCTTATATTTGTCATTCATGGCATTGGACAGAAGATGGAGACAGGAAATATTGTCAAAAGAGCTAAAGAGTGAGTGTTTCCAGATAAGACATTGGATACAAATCATAGTGTATTCAAATCTCAATCCTGTTTTTTTGCATTCAAAAGAAATCATTAATGAGATATATATTATTGGTATGAGAAGTAAGGGGTAGTGGTGATGATCACTTGTATCTATTCACTGAAACTGATGGTTTCTTCTTTTAATATTAAACAACATCAGAAGGGATTGTTGTAAGCCTTTTGTATGAGACTTGAAGCAAAGGACTAATTGTAGGCATCATTATCTATAGTATAAATTACAGAAAAAAGTTAATTCACTTAGAGACTAAAAACAGCAAAGTGGTACATGATGCATTAGAAGTTCCAGTTAGCTTTTCCTCTTTAAGTACATGTATAATAATTAAAGCTGTATGGTCTGATCTTTGTGCTGTAAGAGAGTTTTGATTTATCCTGTTCAACATTTACAGTGTACAACCTAGTTTCTTATATTCCAAAATTACACCCTTAAATTCTCCTCTGTTTTTGCAAAGAAAAAAAAAAACAACACATGAAAAAAAAAATACCAGGGGTATTCAGTTTATCAGTTTTTTAGCTCACCTGAGCTGAATGCTCAAGTGAGCTTTTCTGATCATCTGTTGTCCGTCGTCCGTCTGTCTGTCAGTCCGTCCGTCTGTAAACTTTTCACATTTTCAACTTCTTCTCAAGAACCACTGGGTCAATTTTAACCAAATTTGGTACAAAGCATCCTTGAGTAAAGGGGAGTTTAAATTGTTAAAATAAAGGGCCAAACCCCCTTACAAGGGGAGATAATCAAGAAAAGACAAAAATAGGGTGGGGTCATTAAAAAATCTTATTCTCAAGAACCACTGGGCCAGAAAAGCTGAAACTTATATGGAAGCATGCTGGGGTAGTGTAGATTCTAAATTTTAAAAATCATGACCCCCCGGGGAAGGGCGGGGCCATAATAGGGAATCCAAGTTTTACATTGAAATATATAGAAAAAATCTTTAAAAATCTTCTTTTCAAGAACCACTGGGCCAGAAAAGCTGAAACTTATGTGGAAGCATGCTGGGGTATTGTAGATTCTAAATTGTTAAAATCATGACCCCCAGGGGAAGGGCGGGGCCACAATAGGGAATCCAAGTTTTACATTGAAATATATAGAAAAAATCTTTAAAAATCTTCTTCTCAAGAACCATTGGGCCAGAAAAGCTGAAACTTATGTGGAAGCATGCTGGGGTAGTGTAGATTTTAAATTGCTAAAATCATGACCCCCGGGGGAAGGGCGGGGCCACAATAGGGAATCCAAGTTTTACATTGAAATATATAGAAAAAATTTTAAAAATCTTCTTCTCAAGAACCACTGGGCCAGAAAAGCTGAAACTTATGTGGAAGCATGCTGGGGTTGTGTAGATTCTAGATTGTTAAAATCATGACCCCTGGGGAAGGTTGGGGCCACAAGAGGGAATCCAAGTTTTACATTGAAATACATAGAAAAAATCTTTAAAAATCTTCTTCTCAAGAGCCACTGGGCCAGAAAAGCTGAAACTTATGTGGAAGCATCCTTGGGTAGTGTAGATTCTAAATTGCTAAAATCATGACCCCCGGGGGAAGGGCGGGGCCACAGTAGTAAAAGTAAGTTTTACATTGAAATACATAGAAAAAATCTTTAAAAATCTTCTTCTCTAGAACCACCTGGCCAGTAAAGCTGAAACTTTTGTGGAAGCATCCTTGGGTAGTGTAGATTCTAAATTGTTAAAATCATGACCCCTGGGGGCAGGGCGCGGCCACAATAGGGAATCCAATTTTTATATTGAAATATATAGAAAAAAAATCTTCTTCTCAAGAACCACTTGGTCAGGAAAGCTAAGACTTTTGTAGAAACATCCTGGGGCAGCGTAAATTCTAAACTATTCAAATCTTGACCCCTGGGGGTAGGGCGGGGCCACAATAGGGAATCCAAGTTTTACATTGAAATATATAGGAAAAATCTTTGATAATTTTCTCCTCAAGAACCTCTTGGCCAGTGTAACACTAGCGGTTCAGCTAGAAATTGTTTTCATAGAATTAATAATTCGCTTAACTACTTTTATAAATGTACCATTCGTAAAGAAGACATAAGATTATAAACATTAAACAATTAAATTTATTAAGTGCATTATCAACAAACAATTTATTTAGACGACAAAATTCACACCACATTCATACCGAACTAATAATAATAAATGTTTAATTAAAATAAATAATTAAAATCATACCATAAAACAGACTGAAAAACCACCCCAAAAATCTAACGTATCTATTCCTATGCATATAAAAATATGTGACAACAAGTCGTAGTTATTTATAACTTTGACTTGTAAAACTTAACACCAAGCTTTACTGTATTTAACAGGTTAGCTTGTTAAACTCCTAAAATACTTATTAAATAAGGACACAAGCCATGGTTATTTATAACTTTGACTTGTTAAACCTAACAACAAGCATTACTGTATTTAACAGGTTAGCTTGTAAACACTAAGGGCAAAGAAAGATAACTCTAATAATTATAAGTAAGTTTATCGAGAAGCAACGTTTAAAAATTCCCAAGTACTCTAATAAAATAATTTCTATTAAAAATAATTGAAGAGAAATTTACATATCTAGAATAATTAAATTACTGTATGAAAATAAAATAAATAATTGACTTTCGTTGAACTAATCAACTTTAGTCATCATAAAAGAGAAAGATAGCAAACGTATAACTTTAGTTACATAGTTTGCATTAAAATAAAAATGAAATAAAATTGAGTAAAAATGTAAAATAAAATAATCCTAGATAAATTAATTACTAAAGAAGACTACTCAGTCATAGACTGTTGAGTCTTTAAAACAACCGATAGCGGACAATAGTATTTTACTATTTTGTGTCCTACACGGTAAAACCCTATCCTAAATAAATAAATTAAAAATAAATTCCTAAATAAAAATAAATAAATAAAATAAAAGATAGACAAAATAAAAATTAAAATAAAATCCTAAAAAAAATCTGAGAGTTCCGTAAAACGGACCTACCAAATCAAAATAAGCAGAAGAGTGACTAAAAAATCTCAGCGTCTAACTTTTATATGACTCTATGACAGAAAATAACGGAAAATGCTGGAAAATGACTGATATTAATGGAATTAATAATTATGAAATTTCATTGGATTAACAATTAATGATCAATTATATCGAACAATCTGATTGGTCAATTGTAAAACATCACGATCTTTCACGTGAACAAGTGTCACCAAATATTCTATACAAGTATGAAATAATGAATTTTTACATACTTATCAATTAAATAAAAATATATTTCACAATAAATAATTAAAACAAAACAAATTAAACTTAAAACAATATTCAGTTTATCTCAAAATACAGTCATTCATAAGATACCGCCATTCAAACTCGATATATTTATCGGTTATATTACAAATGCAAGGATAAATTTATCAATTACTTTAACAAGTTTCTAAACCGGAAGTACATCGTAATGAAGAGCAAAACTGTCAAACAATGTGACAACAGAAGTTTAGACTATTTCACAGGTATTATATCTACTAAATAACACTAACCAAACAACAATTACGTACTATTTGACACAGTTATAGTCTTAGGATGTATGCTTAAGTGCTGATTTACAAATGACATACTTTATTAATCTTTTACCAAACTCTAACTCAGTTCGAATTGTCTCAGTCATGTTTATGTTATAAAAATATATCAATCTACCCTTGTTTCACAAGTATATACATTTACAATTAAGTGACTTAGGTACAACTCTGCGAACAGCACATTCATATAAAACAAAATAAAACTGTGAATAAACAAACTTCATCAACCCGCTCCAAATCACCACAATGCATGATAACATATTACAGTCATTGACCCTATTTGATAGAAAAATCAACCCGCTCCAAGCTCACACAAATATAGCAAAATATTACAGTCATTCACTCAGAATGATTAAACACTGTCGTGGATAAAATAAAAAGTTACACCATGTAACCTAACATTACTATTATTACATCATTTAAAAAAGGGGGGGGGGGTCACATGCACTACAGCCAGTAAAGCTGAAACTTTTATGGAAACATCCTGGGGTAGTGTAGATTTTAAATTGTTAAAATCATGACCACCATGGGTAGGGCGGGGCCACAATAGGTATTACAAAAAGATCATCTGGTGAAGAACAGCAGGGCCAAAGTTATTCAGGTGAGCGTTGTGGCCCATGGGCCTCTTAATTTCTGTGTGCATCTAAGTTCTGCTTTGTTCATGAGGATTTCTGAATCAAAGAAAATAAATCTGAGTAGATTTGGTATCAAGGTTTTTTTAGGTCACACGAGTCACTTAAGGTGACTTGTTGCTATCTGTTTATATCTGTTGTTTTTAGTTGTGGATTAACATTTGAAAATTTCAGCTTCTGCTCAGAAACTACTGAACCAATTTTAACCAATTTTGGCATATAGCATCTATAGGTAAAGAGGAACAGAAGTTGATAAATTAATGCTAGGGTGGGCTCTATTGTTCATATAGTGAAAATACATTAATTCTTTGAAAATCTTCTTTATTTCTTCACATTTATCAGACAAACTAAGTGCATGGTTATGATGAACAAATGATTTTAAAAAATGTTATTTACTTCTTGAAAACTTTTCAAAATTGTATAATCACATGCACATAGCTTTCATTTTTAGGCTGAGAGAAAAGGTAACCCAGATGAAATCCAAGTATTTTAGCCTGATAGAAAATTGCTCTCACAGAGCGGAGTTTTTACCAGTAGAATGGCGATCAAACTTGAAACTGGATGGAGGTAACTTGAATTTTTCTTTTTTCTTTTTTTTACAAAGTACGAGGGTTGTTAGAAAAGTTCGCGGACACCTTGATTTAAGGAAAATAGATTGTAAACTTTGAAGAATGACGTATATCTAATTGAATTCTTATCTTTTGTTTATTAGTATGTAAAAGATCATGTCCATTTACAAACATTTTGAAAATATACTTCGATTTTTACTGCGCGGTCATCGGATTCACGGAGCAATCACTTGACGTTTTATGACGGTAGGTGACGTGACAACCTGATTCCAGACCTGTGAAGATTTTTCACAGTTGTAAATATCTTTCATATCTATAGACTTTTCCTGTCGTTTTCTGACTTAAAAATTAAATAAGTATATCAAGACATGTTATATATTTTTTAATGTCTTTTGTGGCGTATCGGATATTAGTGAGATCTTTAAAACAATGTCTATGCAGTTCAGCGATCAGATATGAGAAACAATGCAAAATCCATTGCGATGAGCAGGATATTGGGGTATCGCAGGAGTTGATAATCAAAAATGCCCATCCTTCCATTAATTCTTACAAAGTTGCTACCACTTGAACATTTTGGTACTAGATATGTCTAAGCCATCCCCAACAGCATTTAAAAACATTTTAGTCTCTTTCGGGCATTTCCCTGTCTGCACACATTTTTAATAGCTCGGTGCTCCAAGACATTCAATGACGTTACCATTTCTTGGCTTTGTTTTTACGCATTGATCATCTATAATTAGTGATAAAATAGTCATAACTCCTCCAATGTAATTCAAATGACGTTTCATAAATATCTTAGTGAGAGGTGAAATATCATAAATCTTTATGCGCTACAACAGTGCAATTTTTAATTTCAAAATTATGTCTCTGAAATGTAAAAGTGCGAAAAAGTAACATGCTCCATGAAGCATATTTTATCTAAATAATTTCGCTGTTTATTTTTTAAAGATCATCGGAAAACACCAAATTTTTGCATATTAATTGGAAAATACGTATAGTTTTTACCTGCAGAGTTTTACTGATTTCATGCAAATAGCGCGCTCACAATAGAACTTGTCCGCGAACTTTTCTAACAACCCTCGTACATAAACAGTTAATTATCAAATTATGAAAGAAATCAAACAAAACTGTTTGTTACAAATTGAAATGTGTACCTGTGCTAGATCATGTATTTGTGGGTATCACAAGATGGTAATTTCTAAAATTCTTCTACATTTAGACATGGTGGACTTGATAACACCACACAAAATGAGAGGAATGCGTTCTATTCTCAATAACAGTGCAATGGATATTCTGTACTATACCAGCCCTTTATATAGGTCAGAGGTTAGTGCATATTAAATGCTATTTATAGGTTAGGTAAAGGTTAATAAATCTTACATTCTGTACTACAATCCTATATATAGGTAAGAGGTTAGAAAGTTTCAAAGCTATTCAGCACTTTGTATATTTCAATCAGAGGTTAGTGCATTTGATATTCTTTATTACACTAGCTTTTCATACATCTTCTTTTTACATGCCATATTATGGTATTAGTTTTCCTGTCCATCTGTCTGTCCAGCCTTTTCATGTGAAAAATTGTGACTGCGTACATGGCGTAAATTTATCCCACACGGAAAAAAGTAGGTCTACAATATATTTATATATATACACGTTTGTAACTGAGATGTGTTTACTTTTTAAATTCAAGATAACCCATAGTTTACAGAACGAGTTGAATCGACTATTTGAAATGTTCTGCACGAGAAATCCCTACTTCCAGGTCAATGGAGGAAAAGTCTCCATTGTGGCCCATTCTTTAGGTATGTATCAATGTAAACCTTGAATTTGCATTTTAAAGGTTTTATTATGTTAAGCTATTATTATACCTGGGGCATACAGTGCTTTTCATGTCCATCCTTCTGTCCTTTCATCTGTCAGTCTGTCACATGTTACATTTAGTTCAGTCTTAAAGAAACTGCTCAAGAAATTTTAACTTCAGTCCATACACTGATTAATATTATTAATATTATTATTAAACAATTTTGAATACAGTTTTTCACCATTTACAAATTTTCCAAGAATCTTGTATAACAAACATGTATGTGGGAGCATAGCAGGAACAACAACTCCGGATAAAGAATGAAATATTGACATTGGGAAGAAAAACCCTGGTTGAATAACAACATTGTCAATAAATTGATGGCTATCATAAGTTGGTCTTTTTGAAAAAAATATACATTACGGACTAATTTTCGTATATTGAATTAAAGAAAAATATCAGAATGGGAAATGTGTTATATTTCAACTTACTTAAGATCAAGGCCTGGTTAAATTAAAATGTAAACTGTGCAACAGTTTAAATATGACCAAGCAAGAAGTATAGCTCTGGGTAGAGTTTAGCCTAATTTACACACATGGCAGCAAGATTTGTGAAATATTTATAGGTATACTGAAATAGTGCAGTCACATCTTTAAAAATCTTCTTTTCAAGAATAGCAAAGCCATGATTAGTCATGTGAATATGGAAGCATCTTCAGATAGTATTGATTCAAGTTTGTTCAAATCATGACAGATGGGGGTAGGGTGAGGTCACAACAGGGAATCGAAGTTTTACATAGGAATACACAGGAGAAAAAAAAATCTGCTGCTGAAGAACAGCAGGTCCATATTGACTCAGGTGAATGTTTTGGCCCATGGGCCTCAAGTTTGACTTTAATCTCAGCAGTAAAATATAAGAAATGTTGAAATAACAGATGCATAAAACTGTACATGTATTATTAATACCACTGGAACTAAACTTTAAAAATAGAACCATCAGTTTAATAGACAACAATTTAAAATTTTATGGCTTTCCTTGGTGTCAGTATGTATAATGTCACAACAATAATAAAACAATGTAAGCTTAACAATAACAGGTCGAGGAAACTATATTCTTTGACATCAGAATAAATTTACATATTAAATAAGATACCAACGTGACTTACTGTTACATACTGACCAATCGGCTAAATGAGTTGAATTGCATTATGGGTTTACTACAAGAATACGTCTGAAATTTTATGGCAATTTTTATACTCGTTCTGGGAAGCACATTATAATTTTTTGTTGCTTTCACAGATTAAATACTATATGTAAATTACTGTATATTATTTCAATGCTAACATTTACAAACAATTGATTTATAGACATAGAATTCTCTTTCTCTCCATTCTATTGTCTAAGGCAACTTATGGACAATCGTCTATAGTCCCATTTTGTTCTTTAGTGAATACAAATTTCACGTAGAATCCCTGAAACAAAATTATAGTCACTAAGATGTCCACACATATTATCTTCTGTAAGCCATATTAAGTTTTAAATGCTAACTTTGTGATGGTTTTGTACAGGAATTTCAATGTATTATTTAACTCAGAGAAACAGCTTTGTTTCTTATGTGAACTTGGAACATCTTTATTTATAGTGCCTTATCTTTGTATTTTTTTATAAAAGCAGTGACATTGAGTTTCGATTGTCTTTCCTGCATTTCAATAAATATTACCTCCTAGGTTTACCCAAACCGCGTGTTTGTAGTTAAATGTAAACATGTAGTAAACCATAATGCTCTGCTATTCATTTATCGGATTGGACAACTTTTCACGCTAAACTCCACTTTGTACCATAATAACAATTACCATATAAGGTAGCTTCCTCGACCTGAATAACTATGATGTATTAGAAATAAGATATCTGTTGAAGAACATTGACAGTGTTGATACTTTTGCTGAAACACACAGAGTAGGCAGAGTGAGAGATGTTCTTAAGATTGACTTACATTTATGTAGCCCATTATCTAAACATTGAAATAGAAATAGACGTTAAAATGTTTGTGAAATGGGAAAACTCCATTGCAAATATTAATTATATAGACAGGTTTTTCATTGGTGATTTGCAAATGTGAAAAATGTTGCATATAAAATGATAGTAGGTATACTGTACTTAAAACAACTTTCACCAAGCTTGATAATTAAAGTTTATGTAGGCTTTAAACAATTAAGTCACAAGATTTAAATATCTGCAGTTTTAAGGTTCGATTGGTATATCATGTGACGTATGTCACTCTGTCTCTTTTATAATGGAATGAGAGCGAGCATATGTTAGATATAAAAGGAAATAAGACTTTTTAGTGAATTCTAAAATATACAAACTTACTTAATTAAGGCACAGTAATTTGATGCATATTTTTGAAATATTGTATTGCAATATTCTTAATTTTTTTTTTTAATACTTTTAGGTGCTGTTATTTCCTATGACATTATAACTGGTTGGAATCCAATCCAGCTCTATGATCAGTTCGTTAACTCAGTCATTGTAAGTTCATATCAATGTATCATTATACATTACTTTTTTATTGCACTGTTCAAATGCAGCATTAATATTTTATAAACAGACATTTTAAATATATATGTCAGTATTTTTCAACATTATCTCCAAAGCTGTTTTTGCATTTTCAATGGAACCTGGCAATTGTAACTTAAGTATTTTTTTTATTAAACTTCTTGATGAGTTATGTCCTAGACTGAATTTTGTGAAATTTGAGACCATTTGACATTGTATTGCTAAGGGAGACAATTAGGTAACTTGGAGAATTATCTGAATTAATGAGGATTATTCTTAATTTCTTACTCAGCAAAACCATTACAAAAGCACCATTGCACATTTGATGTAGATTCTAATCTTTGCAATTCATGGCATCATGGTTATAAAGCTAAATTGGCAAAATGAAAAATATCTAAGAATTTCTGTGTAAATTTTCAAATTTCTTGGTACTCGAATATATTTCTCCTCATTAATGTGCAATGTAGCTAGGCCTAGGATTGTTTCAACTTTAGCAGAAAAATGCAAGGTGTGGTCAAAAATATAGGGTTGAAAATTTTATAATAGAAAGTCAGTAAGTATATATAAAAAAATGATCAAGAAAAAAGTAAGTACCGATAATCGGATTATATACAGGTATACTAATGTAGTGTAAATCAAGAAATGTATAGATCACACCCAAGGCTTGAATTATCCCACAGTCAGAAATCTAAACCTCTTCATTTTTTTTTCATATTTTCTTAAATCACATCTAACTGACAGCTAAATTGTATCATTTAAACAATCAGGCATTTTGTTACAGTGGTGGTTTAGATTGAAGTTTGTTATATTTATGGCAGTTAGGGCCTAGGATGGGGCCACAGTGGGTTCTTAATGGTTTATGATGGAATACCATTACAGATGGAGACCTTGAAGATTTTATTCTCAATGAAACAGCTACTATTTGTCAATTTAATAAACATCCTCAGTTTGTGGAAATCATAACTTGTACATGCCAGGATGGTGAATGTTGCTCTTGTCTTAAATGTAAACTTTGTACATGTAAAATAAAAAAAACATCTTTTCTGTAGGAGGAAGAACAAAAGGATTCTGATTCTAGTGAAATAAAAAAAGAAATACATGAAGCCAGGCAAAAGTAAGTTAATCCGTGACTAATGTGACTAAATGAGGTTTCTACATAGTGAAGAAAAAGTTACAGTAAAACCAAATATACCAGGTAATAGGGTTTATTGCAGGAACAAGGTTAAGTTAAATACACAATAAGATAGTAACCAGAAGAATCAAGACATACTATAGTTTTATATAAGAATTACACAATTAATATAATTCATAATTGGCAATATTAATTTACACTATAGAAAACACTGTAAAGACAGTTTAACTGTGACAGTGGAATTTTGCATTCTAACACATCAAGTTTGAGCTCTGATTTGAATTTATTTCATTCAGAATTAGTAGATATTTTGGTTAACTTTTTATACTATAACAGAGCTACAGCAGTTGAATCAATTCTAAAAGATGTTCAAGAAAAGCACAAGAAACAAAGTGGACCAACACTTTCTTTCACAGTAAGATATTTTTGCTGTTTAATAGGACTTGGTGGCCATGGCCATTTTTAGACCATTTTAAACTTTCTGGAAAAGAAGAGCTTGTGATCTGTATAAGATTAGGAGAATAGGAGGAGATTGCATGAAATATGTAAATGTTAATATCTGCATGTGCATTTTAGAAAACATTAATGTCATTCATCTTCACAAAGGAATCTGTAATTTATACTCATAGTCAGATTTTATGTGTAAAAGTGCCTTGTTGTAGAATATTATGTTGATTATTTCTTTATAGATAGAGAATATGTTCTGTTTGGGTTCCCCTCTAGCAGTGTTCCTTGCTCTGAGGGGGTTCAGACCTCAAGGAAAAGGTACCCTAGATCACATCATGCCCTCAAGTCTCTGTAAACGTCTCTTCAACATCTACCATCCCTACGACCCTGTTGTAAGAAAATTTATTTTAAAGGTTTATTTGAAAATCAAAGAGAAACTGTACTATAGAAATCCTTGTTAATATTTTATATAATAACAAAGAAAGTTATAGATGTGATGCTGCATACTTGTAAAAAATGTTTTATGCCTCTCAGTCTTCTTAACTCTGAAATTACCTCCAGAGTTTGAAAAAATGCCCCCGTTTGGTGCATTAGATACTTTTAGTGGCAAATGGTTAAAATATCATTGCTTAGTGCTTTTATGATATGCATTTCATGGATTTTGCAGGCATACAGACTTGAACCACTCATTCTGAAGCATTACTCCACAATTATGCCTCTTCCTATACATCGATTTGATGGCAAACAAAAAGAATCCTACAACTCCATGAAAACAAAAGCTTATGCTGCCTTTAAACCATCAGTCTCTGCAGAAAAAATATCAGACAAAGGTGATCCTGTTGATGGCAATGATAGCACTGATTCTGTTCCTCATAGTAGCCGTGAATCTTCACCTGCTCGTAGCCAAGGCTTTTCTGTTTGTGGGTATCTGTATGTATGGTGATGGTTTTAACCATTCCATTTTTCCTTTGGTGATGGTTAAATTTGTATTTCACAGTATGCATATACATATTTTCCATTACTTTTGTTACTTTTCATTTTACAACTATTTCCACTAACACTATTATATAGCCAAAATAATTTTATTATTTGAAAATCACTAATATTTGGTTTTATAATGAAAATGCTGTTCAGGATAGCTGTGAATGTAAAATTTTTAAACAATACCTTTGACAGTTAAATGGTTGAAGGGTAAGGAATCGGAGGACATGTCCGCAGAGCTAAAGATGTTAGAGAAGATGGAGAAGGATGTCCAAGAGATTGAGAAACATATAAAAGAACGCAAAGAAGTTCTCCAGGAAGTTGATCAAACAGGTAAAAATAGGCCACTGTTCAAAGCAGTCAGTGGTTTAGTGACATCCATTTATTATCTTTTCTCCATGTTTACAATAACTGACAGGTTTTTGTCACGAAAAACTTTGAGAAAAGGTATTCTGGAATAGTCAAAATTTACAAAAACAAGAAAATATATAAACCAACACCTTAAGTTGAAATTGCGAAAGAGATTCTCAGGAGTGGATACCGAAAGATATTCAATAGAGTCTGGAGCTATAAAGACATAAACAAATCACAACATATTTTGAGATTGCACAGGTAGATATATTTTGTTGACCGAATTCAATTAAGACTGCAGTCATCATCAGAACAATTAAAGGACTTATCGCATGATTTTTCAAAAATCTTAATTTTATGAAAAATATTATCTACAACCTTGTTTATTAAAATTCTGAATACAATAAACATTATTGAAAGCATATTTTAAGAGATATTGAGAGTTGAAATTCAAATACGGCAATATGCATATTTCAGTCGGATTTTGGCGAAATACTGCTCTGACGTCATAGGCAACAATTCAGTGATAGAGAGATGAGAAGTTGCACACTATTTATGGAGTTATCAACGACAAATGCAGCTTATTATGAAAAAATGCTGAAAAAATTAATTCCTAACGTGATTTTCAATTACTACAGAAACATTAACTAGTTCTAAGGTGTAAGAATTTTGAGATATTTTCGTTTTTTATTCGAAACATTTAGAATCTGTAGGTCTGATTACGGCAATGTTTCGTGATCGGAAAATTATTTTTCAAGACCGCCATTCTTTACAAAACATTTGAAGGCAATCTTGCATAAATTAATATTATGTTAAAAACGAAGAATAACAAAGTTATGTAATTTAAATTTGTGAATCAAATAAGTTCATACATGTGATAAAATGACAAGTCAAATTGTATTGTTATGGCGAGTTTCTTCGTCTTCGCTGCGTCTCCCTCAATATCGTCGCTGCTATTTTTACAATGTTAACGGATTTTTCAGATTATTTCTTGCTGACAATTCTAAAATATAAGGTTGGATATTTAAAAATCATATCGATAAAATCAGTGATTTGGTCGTCCATAATGCAAAAAATTCAGGTTGTATCGCGTATATTTTAGTAAGATTTACGTGAAGAGCTGATCAGCATTGTCGCCTTTGATGTCACAGGGTCACGTGATCGCTATCTAATTAACTTATTTTTAATTCAGGGGTTTTCATTTGAGTCAATAATTGGTTAATTACCGCGGTTTTTCCGCAGTAAAAACACAAAATTTATAAACTTAATTTCAAATAATTTAGAAACATGCGGTAAGTCCTTTAAGGATTAAGGTTTAATTGCTATGCTTTTTATCTACCTCTCTGTATAATAGACCAACTTTTTCATTTTGGTAGTAATATTTTTGCACCAGTAATCATTTCCAATAAATTTTACAGACTTGGAGTATAGATTGGATTACCAACTACGTGAGGCTAGTTTCTCCAGTAGCTATTTCTCCATGCTGACTTCACATACATCTTATTGGACAGACAAAGATGTTGCTTTCTTCATTCTGTCTCATATTCATCCAGAGCTCCAAGAATTATGACACCCCCAGTCTATAGCGTTTCATATAACTATAGTCAAAACACAGAGTTACATCTGGATATGTTGTCAAGTGCACACATACAATACAAAACAATACAATAATCTTTATTTAAAATCAGCTGATTTCAAAAATGAAAACATAACCTCTTAAGAGCAAATTTTTGACATGAGTTGAAAGTAAGAATTCAACAACTGATCGAGATTTAAATAATACAAATATTTTGTCTATTTTTGGAAATAGATTTTTCTGCCTCTGCCATGAATTGGCTTTGCCGTTCTTCTGTTGTAACATCATTCTTTTCCATCTTATTAGTTCATTAGCTCATTATTAGTTCATTTACAAGTTCAGACTGCATTTTCAACTGGTTTACTTTTGAATTTGCAGGGAGACTTCATAAATTAAACATTTAGTTTTAAACTGAAGTACATGTAGTATTTCAACCCAAAAACAAAATGGGGATTGGGGAGGGGGGTGTAATCTTTTTAACAGTTAAGAAGAAGGTAATGCAGGGGAATAAATTCTTCTCAAGAACAGTGGGGTTATAATTAGTCATTAATATGCAAGCATCCTCATGTAGTATAAATTCAAGTTTGTGGATTAGTAGTGCATTAGTGTTCGAGATATTTTCAGCTTCTTCTCTTGAACCACTGAACCAATTTCTTTTTTCAGTTTTACAAATTGAACATATTTAAATAGAAAGGCTATGTACAGCATAGGTTTTAGTTTATTTTCTACCCAGTTTAGAAACTAAAATTCTTTAATTGGAGAAAAAAATGTACTTATAGTGTGATGATAGCTAGATCACATTAAATATTACTAATTCTGAAAACTGGCATCGTACAGTTTGATTTCTAGTGACCAGTTCACATGAACCAGAGGTTCAAGTGAACTTTATTGATGGTTACCTGTCTGTTATCTTTTCAAATTTCACCAAACTTGGTTCTCCCCCCCCCCCCCCCCCACCACCAAATCATGTGACATTTTAGAGAACTTTATCATTGTAAATGAAAGAATGAAGACTTTACTCAATATTATATTGTTTGAAATTGTAAAGAGGGTGACAAATGACTAATTGGTCCATAGGCTGCTATTTTATGCATAAATTAATACTACCTTTTTATTAAACAAGCTTCCATTAACAATTGGGCTTCAAAAAGTCAGCAACCAATGAAAACATTCCATCCTAAACCAAGACAATTTTCTCAGCTCTCCCAGTTATAAAGGGATTGTTGAAATAGGATCTAGGATTTTTAGCTCTAGAGATGTATTAATTGTTAAAAGGGTGATTTTGGTTTGAAATTTTTTATAATTGAGAGCATGAATGGGTGAATATAACATATGTATTTACAGGTTAAATAGTTTTTTTGCTCACCTGAGCTGAAAGCTCAAGTGAGCTTTTCTGATCACCCATTGTCCGTCGTCCGTCCGTCTGTAAACTTTTCACATTTTCAACTTCTTCTCAAGAACTACTGGGCCAATTTTAACCAAACTTGGTACAAAGCATCCTTGGGTAAAGGAGAGTTTAAATTGTTAAAATGAAGGGCCAAGTTCCCTTCAAAGGGGAGATAATCAAGAAAATACAAAAATTGGATGGGGTCATTAAAAATCTTCTTCTCAAGAACCACTGGGCCAGAAAAGCTGAAACTTACCTGGAAGCATCCTGGGGTAGTGTAAATTCTAAATTGCTCAAATCATGACCCCCGGGGGTAGGGCGGGTCCACAATAGGGAATCCAAGTTTTACATTGAAATATTGTAGTAAAAATCTTTTAAAATCTTCTTCTCAAGATTCACTGGGCTAGAAAGGCTGAAACTTACATGGAAGCATCCTAGGGTAGTGTATATTTTAAATTATTCAAATTCTGACCCCTGGGGGTAGGGCGGGGCCACAATAGGGAATCCAAGTTTTACATTGAAATATTGTAGTAAAAATCTTTAAAAATCTTCTTCTCAAGAACCACGGGGCCAGAAAAGCTGAAACTTATGTGGAAGCATCCTGGGGTAGTGTAGATTCTAATTATTCAAATCATGACCCCTGGGGGGAAGGGCGTGGCCACAATAAGTACTACAAGGGGGGAGAAATCAGGTGAAATACAGCAAGGCCAAAGTTACTCAGGTGAGCATTGTGGCCCATGGGTCTCTTGTTTTTTTTTTATTATCCTTTAATATTGAGAACTGATTGTTCAGATATATTTTTGCTTGGATATTGGTACACATACAGCATATGTATAAAACTCTTACAATATATTATATATTTCCTCATGAGTACCCACACTATCTGTGATATTTCTTTATTTGAATTTAGTCCCACCCAGTGTTGGGGAGTGGTATTATTTAGCTTTATATATTTGTTAATCACTGTCTCACACCTTATTATTACAAATATAACTTTTTGATTGAATGCATTTTTATTTAACTTAATGCAAAGATAGACTAACCATGCATAATTATGTAAAATGGAGAATAACTCTTTCAGTACGCTACACTTCAACCTTGGCAATAGTAGTGTGACTTTCGTAATAGATGTACTTATAATTGTCAAATATATGTCAATCATCTGTTATATTTTCCAGTCCAGTATGTACTTGTAGATGACACAAAATATTTTAGCAGACTACAAACTCACTATTATGTGATAAAATACTCTTTGTGTTAGTAATTTTAAAAATAGATAGTCTTTTTAGCTCACCTGAGCTGAAAGCTCAAGTGAGCTTTTCTGATCACATTTTGTCTGTAGTCCGTCTGTCCGTCTGTCCGTCTGTCCGTCTGTCTGTAAACTTTTCACATTTTCGACTTCTTCTCCAGAACCACTGGGCCAATTTCAACCAAACTTGCCACAAAGCATCCTTGGGTGAAGGGGATTCAAGTTTGTTCAAATGAAGGGCCACGCCCTCTTTCAAGGGGAGATAATTAAGAATTAGTGAAAAATGAATAGCATCTTTAAAAAATCTTCTTCTCCAGAACCACAGGGCCAGGAAAGATGAAACTCATATGGAAGCATCCCCAGGTAGTGTAGATTCAAGTTTGTTCAAATCATGACCCCCGGGGGTAGGGCGGGGCCACAATGGAGGATCAAAGTTTTACATAGAAATATATAGGAAAAATCTTTAAAAATCTTCTTCTCAAGAACAGTAAAGCCATGAAGAGTCATATTTATATGGAAGCATCCCCAGGTAATGTAGATTCAAGTTTGTTCAAATGATGACCCCCGGGGGTAGGGCGGGGCCACAATGGAGGATCAAAGTTTTACATAGAAAAATATAGGAAAAATCTTTAAAAATCTTCTTCTCAAGAACAGTAAAGCTATGAAGAGTCATATTTATATGGATGCATCCTCAGGAAGTGTAGATTCAAGTTTGTTCAAATCATGACCCCCGGGGGTAGGGCGGGGCCACAATGGAGGATCAAAGTTTTACATAGAAATATATAGGAAAAATCTTTAAAAATCTTCTTCTCAAGAACAGTAAAGCCATGAAGAGCCATATTTATATGGAAGCATCCTCAGGAAGTGTAGATTCAAGTTTGTTCAAATCATGACCCCCGGGGGTAGGGCGGGGCCACAATGGAGGATCAAAGTTTTACATAGAAATATATAGGAAAAATCTTTAAAAATCTTCTTCTCAAGAACAGTAAAGCCATGAAGAGTCATATTTATATGGAAGCATCCCCAGGTAGTGTAGATTCAAGTTTGTTCAAATGATGACCCCGGGGGTAGGGCGGGGCCACAATGGAGGATCCAAATTTTACATAGAAATATATAGGAAAAATCTTTAAAAATCTTCTTCTCAAGAACAGTAAAGCCATGAAGAGTCATATTTATATGGAAGCATCCTCAGGTAGTGTAGATTCAAGTTTGTTCAAATGATGACCCCCGGGGGTAGGGCAGGGCCACAATGGAGGATCCAAATTTTACTTAGAAATATATAGGAAAAATCTTTAAAAATCTTCTTTTCAAGAACAGTAAAGCCATGAAGAGTCATATTTATATGGAAGCATCCTCAGGATGTGTAGATTCAATTTTGTTCAAATCATGGCTCCTGGGGGTAGGGCGGGACCACAATGAAGGATCAAAGTTTTACATAGAAATATATAGGAAAAATCTTCTTCTCAAGAACAGCAAAGCCATGATGAGTCAAATTTATATGGAAGCATCCTCAGGTAGTGTAGATTCAATTTTGTTCAAATGATGACCCCCGGGGGTAGGGTGGGGCCCAATGGGGGATCGAAAGTTTTACATAAGAACATATAGAAAAAAAAATTTCTTTTTTTTCAGGAACAGAAAAGCTATGTTAGTCTTATTGATATGGAAGCATCCTCGGGTAATGTAGATTCAAATTTGTTCAAATGATGACCCCTGAGATGGGGAGGAGCTACAATGGGGGATCAAATTTTTACAAAGGAAGAAATGGGAAAATTCTTTTAAAATCTTCTCAAGTACAACAAATTCATTTGTTATATTGACATGAAAGCATCATCAGGTAGTTTAAAATTCAACCCCCCCCCCCTCCCCGTTCATTACTGAACTGATTTGTGCCTTAGTCTAGCCAGTGTGCTCAGGTGAGCGATGTGGCCCATGGGCCTCTTGTTTATTTCCATTATGTCATGAGGTATGGAATGAGTGAACATTTTGTACTAAAATGTGTCTATTGACAGCCGTAGGCTCAATTGACTAGTGTGGTATCTGTATGTTTAGTATAATTGTTATGCAGTTTTCTCGTGTTCTCAAAAATCAAAGGGCCAATTTTTATTCAATGTGGTTTGTCAAAGGGGATTAAAATTTGTTCAGGAAAAACATTATGCCCTTTACAGGAGGGTAGGGAGGGAGGAGGCAGTAGGAAATGAGAACTAGGATTGCTTTCTTTAGATTCAATATGATATTGTTTAGTGGGCAGATCTTGGGGAGGGGAGGGGTCCAGAAGGAAAACAGCTCAACTAACAACACAACCACCCCATCCCCTTTAGATTGAAGCATTTTATCTCATACAAAAAAAATAATTAAAATAATTACCTGCAGCTAACATGTTATTTCATGCTGTATTATTCAATATTTTCTTGGGAAAATCCTTATTCTGACAGCTATTGAAATGTATAGATGGTCAGCAGAATGTTCAGAGCATTATTTGAAATGTTGCTTTAGATTTGATTGTTAAGAGATTTATTGATTTGCACACACAATTTTCAAAGTTGTATGTGATAAATTTTCTTTCATTTTGTGATTTTTACATGCATAAAATGCTTATTTTATATATTTATCATGTTATGGCTGTTGAGTTTGAAATATATTTAAATAAAGCTGAATATTTATAAGTGACACAATCTTGTCAAAGAGTGATTTTTCAAGTTTGGAATCTTTGACTGTAAATTCCAGGAACTGTATGTCACAGATATTTTGTCCATTGATTACAAGTACTCACATAATTAAGATGTCTTTTATTTTGAAGTTTTAGTTGTTCGAGGTGAGACATTGGGTCATACGATATCGCTAGTTTTAGGACTGAGTCGCCCTCGTGGCGCAGTGGTCAGTGTCGCGGAGTAGGGAGTTGATCCTTACTTTGCGAGTCCGAATCCCACTGCGGGACGTGGAGACCGGTCCTTCAGTTGAGACCTTTTAAATAGAGATCCCATATCGCAGTAGATGCTGACACGAAAAAGATCCCTCACTGCTCAAGGCCATACTAAAGTGCCGAGAAATTTGCAGCCTTCCACCGGCAAGAGATGGCGTTTCAATATACTAGTATGGGTGAAAAGATTTCAAAGGGACGTTAAACAATCAAACGACTGACTAATTTTATAATTTCTTTTGAGAGTTAACATTTTAGGCCGAGACTCCATGGTTTTAAATCCTACAAAAATTTAACAATTTATGATTCGAAAACATTCATTTTCCATTTTAAAATCGGTTGACTACTTTCAAATAAACGTTTAGCCAAAATATTATGACCCTGAATCTTACAATGTATTTTTAAAAGAAAGGAGAAAATCCCAACTCTGGGTTGAAATTTCCTCTAGGAAATCATTCTAGAGCACAGATCGGGGGAATGCTTACTATTGGGTAAATCCAACCCTACAAAGCTGGCTAGGAAAATATTGCCATTTCTAATTTTGGAACATTGACCCCTTCGTGTATATCAATCACGATGTACCGGGGGGGGGGGGGGGGGTATTCAAGACTAGTCTTTTGCTGTTAATTTAGTATGGAAAATCCTCCCACTTAATTTTTGTTGAAGGATGATCGATTCAGATTGAACCCTCCCATGTTAACTCTTTCCATTAAAATTTTGTCCACAAAGTATATATGGGAACCGAACTTACACATCATACTCACACAAAAATGGGTTTTTAGAGTTACAGATATCATTTTCTTCTTCTTCTCACAAGTTTTTCCAGGCATTTTTTTGCTTGGTGGGGATGGGGGCTTGTGGGTTATTTCTGTTGCCCCTTTCAAACGGTTACGTACGTGTCTGTGTACCTCGGAGTTCTCATCATTTTATGCAGTGAAAAACCAAGTATGTACTGATTGTGATCTTCAATATAAAATACAGCCCCCACCCCATACTCTATGTTGAGATCTTTAGAGTAAATTATTGATTATCAATAAAATATTGCCAGTCATCCTGATGAGAAATGGATAAGACACTCATCGCCTATCTCCTCAAATACCGGTAAGCTGCAAAACGATTTAATTGTTCGGATCTGTGACCCTCACATGCCGTCATGTTTACACAGGGCTAGCTATACCTACTATATATGCATGAGAGTGGGACTCATTTCTCAGTATTTGGTATCATGGTCTTTAAGTTGGTGTATCAATTGCCATACATTTATGATCAAACGGAAAAATGTGACTGGCGGATTCTTTTAAATATTATCATATCTTTAGGTCAGTCGTGGCAATTGTTACGTGTTGATAGTATAGAACGTTTTTGACGTGTCAGAAAGTTTTCTACGATCAACACGATTAATTATTAATCGAGATCATCGCATGAAATCGTATTGCATCGTAACAGAACGCGACATACCCAGCATCGCATCAATACATCTAACAGTAATTATCAGATCGCAATGATCAGTGATGATCGGGATCATTGGACAATGCAAACACCATGTTCAGATGTGTTGCGATGTCCCACGTTAAATTTGATTGAAATTGTTGACATTGTCCTTTTTTAAACCTTTCCATAACAAAGTGAAGTCATATTCATGCTTCAGTTTTTACTTCATTTTAAAATTAAATGAATAAAACATTTACACATCAATATCTTATCTAGTTGTATAACTATTAAATTGGAACCTTCGAAGGACCCTACATAATTAAGTCACCTGACCTACTTATCCATTTCTTTTAATTGCTAAAGAAATAGGTTTTAACATCAATTGTCAATTTTCATCTGTGGAAACAATGACGTCAAAGGTCGGTCGGACTATATGTCGGGATCCAGTCGTACCTCATAAAGGGATCGCCCTCATCATTATAATCGTATCCTACCGCAAAATAATTCAACGCTGAATGTGAACATAGCCAAAAATCGGGGACCTTGATTGTGATAAACGAGATCCAATCGTAGACTCAATCATGATTGACTAATGACCTTCTCGCATCAAAGCGGTATAAATCGTATGTATACCACCTCGTATCCAACCCGAAAATCCAGAGAAGTTCTGAGATCAGCTAAGAAGTGGATCGCACGACATGCAGTGGGAACCGTGTTTTAACCTAAACTTTCAATCAAATACTGAACAAACATTGCTGAAGTAAGATGGATATAATTTGTGCTGTAAAGAAGTCTCTAATAATTAACATTATCATCCATTATATATATGAAACATTGATTGATTGATTGTGTGTGTTGTTTTACGTCCCGTTCGAGAATTTTTCACTCATTTAGAGAGGTCACCATATACCGATGAAGGGCTTCAAATTTAGACCTTTATTCGGCACTCGGGGTCATTGAGCATCGTGCCAACGCCTACCGTAAAACGGGGTCTCTGTTTTTAACGTCTCATCCGAAGGACCCGCAACTTTCACTTCAAAGTGCCGAGCGCTTGGCGAAGGAAAAGATGCTACCTATTTTTTATCGACGTAGGTCTCTCTCAAATGCAGCTGAATGTATGCGCCGAGTTGTAGCTCTGGGGAATTAAGAGTGAGACAAGCCCCCCCCCCCTTTTGTGACCAAAAATATACATAAGATTAATAAATCAATCTTTTGGTGTGCGATATTGCATTAATTATATACGAGTTCAATTAATTTAAAAAAAAATAATTTTGGGGTTGAATTGGTCATAGAACCTTTTAAAAAATCCCGGGCGGGGGCTATTTTAAGACTACATTACTAAGTAGTACTACTTTAAAATTGATAACATTTAAGGAAGGGTGGTCTATTTTTAATTTTGATTATTAATAAGGAATGTGAGTAAAACTTGTATTTGGTTGTCTTTTATGTGGGTCTATGGAGGTTCTTCTTTTTTTTGAAACGGTTGTATTTGTACAATCATTCGGTCGCCTGCATGGTGCAGTGGTTAGAGCCTCTGCTCTAGAGGCGCGGAGTAGGAAGTTGGTCCTTACGTTGCGGTTTCGAACCTACTGCGGGACGTGGAGACCGGTCCTGTGGATGAGACCGTATAAACCGAGGTCCCTTGTCGCAGTAGGTGTTGGCACGAAAAAAATCCCTCACTGCTCACTGGCCCTGCATGCCTAGTATAAATTGGCAGCCCTCCACCGACAAGTGGTGGTGTCTCCATATGAGTGAAAAATTCTCGAGAGGGACGTTAAACAACAAACAAGCATTCGCGTTGTGCACCCATTTTTTTCAGTGGGGGACTGAGTGGATGTGAGTTGATTCTCTGATTTATTCGGTCTTGTGTTTTTAATTGTAATTGTTTTAAAATATGACGAGGATGTAATCAGTTAAATGCTGTCTTTAAAATTTGCCAAATGCGTTCGTCCTAACGCTTAATTATTAAGATAAAACGTGAAAATACAGTTACACACACACACAAATACGATGAAATTTATATGATTAGTAATACTGATTAACAAATATATGCTTACGGTCAAACAACTGCTTGGTTCTACATAGTTTTTCACAAATTGTAGATTTAAAGATTAATCGTTTCCTACCTGAACGGTTAATCTTTGAGGTGACGAACATTTATTCTACTATCAGACTATATATAGGCGCTTATACAAGATACAAATATTTTATTTTCCAAGGGCCCCGAGAGGCATTTCCACATATATAAATGCACAATTTATAAATAATATTGATTTCTTCATTTACTATGGACTTATTGAAATATCTATATCATTATTTCCAAACTATCAACACTACGTACCTCGATTAACGTTTTTTTTTTTTTTTTTTTTTTGTAAAGTCAGAACTGAGTTGAACGTAAATAAACCTTATTTATTGTACTTTAATGTCACCCAGACTTACAATCAGAGTTCAGTAAAAGGCAATACACAGTTGAAGGCAATATAAATTTTGACGTCCCTTTACTGGGATTAAAGATAGAAATTACACTTAGGAATCTCAGGTTTATTTTTGTCATTATGTGTACGCTAATGGCCTCTATTTAAATATCAAAGTTGTGGGAGTTTTCGCTTGAGTGATTATATTAACCTTTATAATCATAAAGATAATGTAAACACAAGTTACTCTACTGGTATTTCAAGTTAGTTCGAGTTCATCGAACTTTCGCAGAAAGACAAGATGCCTTTTTGACAATATTATACCTATTTGATTTTCACGGAAAGGTTTTGACGTTTTCGCCTTTGTTGACAATACCTAGCAGAGTTGCATGCCCTTTGCTCACAGACTGCGCTGGATGCTGTGTCGTTTCCCACAATGCCTTATTTAGCGTAATTGACGACTTGTATGTGATCTGCGGCGCTCGCTGCTGATGGTGAATTTACTATGGTGCATGGCAGATGATGAAACACTTTGGATTCCTTTAATTGCAATGACAGGTAATGTACAGAAAATAGGGTAAAATCTTTCAATTTAAAAAATCGTAATCAGTGTAAGAGTTTGAAATAATGCTTCGATTCATTCTCCAGTACATTTTTATTTTGAGATACCATCTGAGTGTACGACTTGGTCTTATTTTGATATATCTTCAAACTAAAATTATGAAAAATTCATCCTCTTTTATGCTGACGTGTTTGGGAAACCTTTTGTAAATTAATCGAAGATTCGCCTCTATGGATATACAGTACATGTATCACTCTGACGCTGTAACTTGACACTAAGCCACAACAAGCAACGTGTGGAAAAAAATTGGCTGTCGAGATGTCGTTCTAAAAATTCCCTTTCTGCCAATTTGTCCAATTTGTCCACGTTAATGTATACTAATGGACAAAATCACTAGTCTTTATTCCACATTGCCTTCGATGAAACACATGTACATTTTAAAATAAGGCAGACACAGGAATAGAAAAATACACGTTTTTTTCCCCCAGAAATAGATTATTGAATACCAGCAACAATTGACTTGTGTCAGCTTGTGTGAGATATTTTATAATATTGTCTTCTGTTTTAAAGCTTTAATTTGCTTTGTTTTTACCTTCATTCATTTCTTTTAATTCTTTTCTTTTTAATACAGAAGACCATATGAACTCCTGTTATAATATAGGGTTCTTCAAAGTGTATAGATGTGTTTGGATTTTAAAATGTTTATTGATCTTCAGTGTGTTTACACGTTCTCTTCCTAAGTACACAGTAATCTATTAAACTAACTGTGCTACATTTATGGTTTAAATGTTCACAAGAATTTAACTATATGATTTATGTTAGTTCTTAAAGGAACATTGTTGAGGACTGGGAAGTGATAATGTGATTTGAAAATGGTAACACAGCCACTCAGTATTATAGTATTGATACCCCCTCCACCTCCCTTTTTTTTAAGACATAGTTAGAATTTTTGAGGAGTCCAAACTGATAAAGTTAGAGTTTATGTTTTTGACTGCCCCGTATTTTTTCTGCTTTAAATAACTTGCTATTTGATTTGACAAAGAAAAATACACTGTTTATTGAAAACTGAGAAGATAAATTTTTATAATGCTGATTTTAAAAAAATATGCATACTACATACATGTACAGTGTTTTGTTTCTTGACTCTGTAACAGACACTTGACATGTATTTATGCCATGTTTATCTAGTAATCTTTCACATATGCACACATTATGGACATCCTACATCCCTAATTTGTTTATCTGCTTCTCACATTGTGTGCATGTCTAATGAACTTTTTTACACCTTCTGCTATTAAGCTGGGAGTCTGTTTTGCTGCCTAGACATATACACTCACAGCAGGTAAATAATCCTCCTAGAGCTGAAGGTTTGAGCCGTGTGCCTCAACATTATGTAGATCTGTGTAGTCAGGCTCTCAATAGAAGTCACTGGATACCACATACAACTATCTAAACCAGATGTTGACTGCTGGAAATAGTATCTCAGAACCTTGAATCTACATATGATTTAAAGCAACTGTTATGATAAGGGTCATATGACTCCTTAAACAATGATCTGGTCTCAATATAGACATTTTTTTATGTGTAAAAGGCCTCCCATCCTCAACCTTATTAGTCAGATCCACACTTTTCAATAGTTATGTCCCTTGGCCAACATCTTTGGGGGAAAACCATAAAATTCTCACACTGGCCTTTGTTATTTTCAGGTATGTAACTTTGTCATTTGACTTAAAAATAATCACAAAATATTTTATTATATATTTTAGTATCTTGTATTTTGATTGCCCCAGAATGGGGCTACCCATACAACGGAAGAAAAAATTTTGAACACTATGAATTTATTGCAGCATGCCCAAATGTTTGGTAGTGCATAGACGAAAAACCTTCCTTTTTCCCCCTATTGACCTTTTAGTTGAACTTGTATAGGGAAACTGTAGATTGAACAAAACCTTTGTGCACAATGCACTGGTATAAAAAGTTGGTCAAGGTAGAACCCCCTCCCCCCCCCCCCCCCCCCCCCCCACACACACACACACAAAATGTGACTACCTGGTGCTTCTTTCAGTTTTAAAATTGATATTGATAAACAGGATGTAGCTATTGTATCAGACATGTACTCTTTTTCTAATTTATACAGCTCGTTTCTTGGAAAAATGGATGTACATAATCTAAATATAAAGTTTAATGTAATTTGTTGAAATATGTTCACTGAATATTGGGCAACTAATTCTGAAGTTTTTCAAAATTAGTTATATTCACACTTAACCCCTTACATCACATTCTTCTTAGAAACTAAACTGTAGACATGTACACTTCGGATGAGCAGAAAAGAGAAAAAAAATGCAATTACACAGTGGGATTTGGGGCCTATATCTAATCAGAAAGAAGTTTGAGAGTTAGAGCTCTGAGCAAAATTGTTAAATATTCCAATAAGTTAGGGATCCGACTGTTTGATAGATGTGGACAGAGCCAGAATTGGCCTACACTATGGATATCTAACATCTTTGGCACCATTCATATGAAAATAATATATAATCATTACCTGAAGGAAGGTAATGCAGTGTAAAGTAACGAGCTGATTGGGTCATCAATTTGAGGGATATATTGTGTGTAGCAGAGAAATTATAGATTTATCATTTTATCATTACAGACAAAATCATTTGCTAAAAGAAGGCAATATATTGTCTTACTTGACCTGTTGCTAAGCATTGCTAAATACTCAGAAATAGTGATGCATGCTAGTAATTATGCCATTAAGACTTCACAGATATCAGAAGTATTTACCTCCTCAGAAAAGGTAATTACACAGTTACGTCATGTGCATGGAGAAAAAGCCTTGCTGCTATTTATAGAACAGTCTGTTTTTCATTTACTATGCTCACACTTGCAGGTCATATAGTACTTTTTGAGTTTTTACGAAAAATACTGTAACAGTCATTTTCAAGATGACTTAGCTGTGGCTCATCTAGGACATATATTTATATATGGTACATGTATATGCATGCTTCATGATACACATTGATGTAGATGAAGGCTTTAAATCAATTTGATGTATACATATATACATTTGAGTGTTATGCAGAGTAAGTATAAACATTAATTAGAAGGGAGAGTAATGAAATCCACATGTTGGAGTTTTCTATATACTGTACTGTGTATACTCAATTGAATTAGCTTTATAGGCTCGTGAGACATTTAGGGGCAGCCATGCTACTGTTGAATTCCAAGTCAGGACATAAAGGAAAGTGCTATATCCTAATCAAGCTTATAGATCATGCATTTAATTATCTGACCTGCAGAGATTAACAATGTCTAATACTCTCAGAGGAAAACATGTTTTATGTAATAAGTTTCTGATTTTGGCATTCATTATTAGTGTTTATATAAAATTAGAATTTTTGTTTGAACTACTGGAAAATTGTACATAGTTCTGTATGTAGAACTTTTTTTATGACCCCCCCCCCCTCCCAAATTTGTGTCTTAACCTGTGTTCCTACAGAAATTAGGATATTGAGGGAGGAATAGCTTTGCATAAATAACAGCTATTCTAGTAAAAGCTTCATCTGAGAAAATTTCCTGCTTTGTGCTAAAAAAGTTGCAGAATTTAACCATGATAAATCTTGTTTATGGGATCAATTTTTTGTGATTGATGCAAAGAAATTTGCCTGAATTTGATTTATTGGAGGCAAAAAAATAAAGGTCTATTTATTCTAGCTTTGAGAACCTGGAAGTTACAAGTAGTTCTGATTGGAGGTTTTGGATCTTATTTTTCTTTGAAGAGAGAACACATTGACATATATTATGAATCAAATTTAACGAGGTGTGAAGAGCCCTTGGAAACCTCAATTATTCATGTTCATAATTCCTAGAGCTATGTAAAGAATCTAGAAGAAGAGAAAAATTCAAAGCTGAAATACCATTGTTGAAGATTGAAAGGCATCAATCAGATAATGCTCTTGCTTTATATTTAGCTCACCTGAACCATTAAAGGCTCCTACCAATATATTCATAGGTCTGAATCCAAGAAAAATAAAATCATTGCTTGCATTGGATGTTTGCTGTAAATAACATTAAATATGTATATGCAAGAGTTTACTTACACATGCTTTTGTAAGACTTAGAACTTGCCAAAATAAAGTATTTTTGAATAAATAGTTCTTAATTTAGAAGATTTTTCAAATGGTTGCTGGATGTAAAATTGGGCAAGTTGTGAATTTCAGTCTCCTTGGGCCTGAGGAGTGGGGCTAAAACCATCGAAATTTATGCAATCTTAAAAAATCTTTTTCTTCACCCCTGGTCATCAAGCAGTCAAACTTCTGGTATGATTAAAGTAAGCATCGAGCCCTCTTCCAAAATTGTGAAATTCATGGACCCAGGGTCAGGGGCTCTGGAGTTAGGTTGGGGCTTGATTGATCATATAGTGAAAATTTATTAATTCTTTGAAAATCTCGTTTGCTCCTGGGGTATTTAGCAGATAAACCTAGTGCAAGATTATGATAAACAAGGATACCTCTTTCAAAATTGTGAAAATTTGTGACACCAGGGTCAGGGGTTCTGGTGTTAGGGTGGGGCTCGATTGATTATTTAGGGAAAAGGAATTTATTCTTTGAAAATCTTCTGTGCTCTTAGGCATAAGCAAACAAACTAAGTGCATTAGTTCTGGGTGAGCAAAATTGTGAAATTCACAGCCCTTGGTTCAGGAATTCTGATGTTAGGATGGGGCTCTATTTATCTTATAGTGATCTTTGAAAATCATCTTTTCTGCTCTTTGGCAAACAGAGTAAAAAGTTGAAATGTGTAAGGATGTTTTTATCAGATTTTTGAAATTTTAGACCACTAAGTTAAGTGCTCCTGTTCTAGGCAGGAAATGTGTACTCTGCTGAGGGAAGTTATTTCCCTTTGCTATTCACTAGGGATGGAATTTGTAGCAGGTTAACCAATTACTCAGTCAGAACAATGGTAATTGGTCAGAACGATGGTAATTGGTTAGAAAATCAGTAATCGGTTTGTCAGAAAAAATAAAATAAAGGTAAATTTGAAAAACAATTTTCTAAAAATTCATTTTTAAAAAAGAAACCTCTGCATAAATGTTGATTAAACCTTGATTATTTAGCATTTTCATGTGTCTGTTTAAGCTAATTTGGTGGTTATTATGGCTCTCCGGACTGAGATTGTGGGGTTATTGGTCAGTTTGTGAAGTGTTAATTACTGTTAAAACAACATGTTGTTACCCTGACTGTCGTGTAATTCTTAAATGATAGTAAATAAATCAGAACTTAAGCACTATGAATTTTGCAGTTAGCTATTAAATTATATTATTAGACAAGCATTGTAAATTAAGTGAAAGTTCCAACTTTGTTTTGATTACAATGAGAATGCAGAATGAACTTGTGTGACATCTGCTCTGGAAAACTATAAATGAATGATTTCTCAAGCATGTTTCATGGGTTTAAGTTATTTTTTTCTTGTCTAATGAAATTGAAATAAAATACATGTACATGTAGTTTCCTGGTCAAGGTAACATAATGTTTCTAATATCTAAGTATACATCCTTTTAAGTCTTCTTGTGTTTATGTGAAAAAAGCTACTTAAAAAAAAAAAATGTCAAGAAAATTTGTATTTTGATACAATTAACCGGTTAATCGATTGGAAAGTCTTGCGGTTAACTGATTAGCAATTCTGTATTCGATTGCCATCCTACTACCGTATAGCGAGAATTTTTAGCAGGGTGCTATCATTGGCTTATTTAAGCGGTTTTGTAGTAGCCCACTAATTTCTAAATTTGCACCCTTGCATACAAGTACTGAGTACAAGAAAAATAACTTTGATCAGTCTGTTAATGAACATTATATCATTCATCTAGTATTGGTTTTTACCCAGTCTCTTGTGTAAATGAATATTCAAATGAATATTAGAGATCATGAAACTCATCTAGAAGATCTCTTTTGCATTGCCATAATACTTTGTGTCCACCAAAAAAAGTTTCGCCAAAATTATTGGCATACCTTTGAGCAAGCAAAACGCCAAATTTTACACCCACTAAACAAAACCCACTATATGGTATTCACCTACGGTAATTAATACCTGTGAATAATGTAATTGGTAGATCAATTAAATTCAAGAATTATTAACATATACAGTAAAACTTAATAAGTACAAACATGGATATAGCAAATCCCTGGCAAAATTTCTTATAAAACACTTCTCCTGTTACAGTTTTGCTCCAATTTCAATGTATGACTTTGTACACAAGTAGAATACTTTCAAGATACATAATTCTGTATACCGCGTTTTGATTTAGATGAACACTATTGCAATGTATACTATAAACAGGATAATATTAGAATTCATTTAAAACATTGCTCCTTCTATGTTTTTGGTCTAAATATTAAAAAAAACTTGGTACACAAGTAAACTTAAACAAGGATCATAATTATCGATGTTGCTATTGCTGCTAAGTTTCAAGCCCAGATGCTGCTTTTCTCTTTCTTAATTTAAGATCAAACCAGTAGAGCTACAGTCTCGTCAGAGACTTCTGCTATCAAATAAGAGGCCAAATTTGGACATTACCAGATCTTGTTCTTTGTTTATATCAAGTAGGAGTGTAATGATATACTGGTATTATTACTGCAATACATAAAAAATAGTATATCTTGGGACAAAAATGTATACCTGCATATCCAATGTAAACATTTTCAATATTCAGGACAAAAATTCTTTTAAAAAATTATGAAAGGTGATATATTGTGATATAGTCCCTGTGTATCATTGTATATCATGATATATGCTTCAGCGATGTCATTATATGCCTATAATCTCCAGCTATCTATTTCTAAGCTATCATAGTAATTTGTACAAGATTCTATTGTTTAATAATAGTATGTTACTTTTAATTACAGGATGTGCTTCTGGGATTGAATAAAGTCATCAGCATTGGTCGGTAATTGTCCAGTAGCCATGTCTATAACAGAGATGAAGGGGAGAATGTCTCCCGTTATTCCGGTTCTCTTATTAACAGTCATTCTTCTTCAACTACCACTTTCTTCAGCTTCTAACACGACATCTACATGTATAGTGGACGTAAAACCATGTAAAGGAGGACTTATTTTTCCTTTATGGGAACCGGTATTAAATCTAAGTATAGGTGACAAGATTGCACGAGGTGCTGTTTACTTCTTAGGAATGGTCTACATGTTTTTAGGAGTGTCCATTGTGGCTGACCGATTTATGTCCTCCATTGAAGTCATCACTTCCAAAGAAAAGGAAGTCATTGTGAGAAAGTCCGATGGAACAACAACAACTGTTAACATTAAGATCTGGAATGAAACAGTGTCTAATCTGACACTGATGGCTCTTGGTTCATCAGCCCCTGAGATTCTTCTGTCTGTAATTGAAATCTGTATCAATAACTTTAAGGCTGGTGAACTAGGTCCTAGCACCATTGTAGGCAGTGCAGCTTTTAACCTTTTCATTATTACTGCCATTTGTGTATATTGCATACCAAATGGAGAATATCGTACGATAAAACATTTACATGTCTTCTTTCTCACAGCTACCTGGAGTATAATTGCATACCTCTGGCTCTACTTTATTTTGTCCGTATCTTCAAGTGGTGAAGTTAAGATTTGGGAGGCTGTGGTGACTTTGTTATTTTTCCCTGCAACTGTCATCACTGCATACATAGCTGACAGAAAGCTTTTCCCTTATACGTTTTTGTCAAAAAAATACAGATCAAGTCGACACAAGGGCATGGTAGTAACTACAGAAGGAGATCATGAATTAGCAGACGGCAAAGCAAATCATCATGATGAAGTCATTTTCAAAGGAATTAGTGAAGAGAGTGATATAAAAGAAATCAAAGAATTTGAAGAACATCGGAAAGAATACATGGATATTCTTCGTGAACTCAGAAAGAAAAATCCCAATGCAGACATGAAAACTTTGGAGGAAATGGCAGAGTATGAGGCCATCAATCGCGGACCAAAGAGTCGAGCTTTCTACCGCATTCAGGCCACACGTAAGCTGACAGGAGGAGGAAACGTAGTGAAAAAGAGTAAGATTGAACGAAAGGCAAGTCTTGAGGATGTGAAAATAGAAGTGAAGGATGATAACACAACTCGGGTGTTCTTTGATCCTGGGCACTACACGGTCATGGAGAATGTGGGTACATTTTATCTGACAGTAACCAGAGAAGGAGGAGACTTAAATAAAACCCTGTATGTGGATTACAAAACAGAAGATGGAACAGCAAATGCTGGGTCTGATTATGAAAATGCAGAAGGAACAATTATCTTTTATCCTATGGAAACCCACAAGCAATTTCCAATCACCATTATAGATGATGATGTCTTTGAGGAGGATGAGCATTTCTATGTTCGTCTTAGTAACTTGCGGACTGGAGACTCCCAAGGCATGTTTGACAGTAACAACACAGATGCATGTGAAGTTAAGCTTGTCCCTCCTTTTGTGGCCACAGTAATGATCTTGGATGATGACCATCCAGGAATTTTCCACTTTGAGGAGAAAGAGTTAAATGTACCAGAAGCTATTGGTGAGGTCGAAATTAAAGTGGTTCGGTCCTCTGGAGCTAGAGGGACTGTTAGAGTACCGTACCATACAACTGATGGATCTGCTAAAAAGGGGAGGGACTTTGAAACAACAGATACCGAAGTCATCTTCCATAATGATGAAACTGAGTAAGTACTTTTATAACTTTTAGGGGGAAGGAGGGTTTTAAGTAATTAAGTCAGGGTTGTCCCTAAGACCAGGGCCAGGGAATGGAAATTTAGCATTCAAATATTTGGTCACATGACTTATACTTCAATGTTTAATTTGTTGATTAAATTATATTGGACCCAGGTACTTTAATGACAAAAACTTAGCGCTTCTTTATCCTTTGATGCTCCAACAGTACTGTTGACTATCTCTCGGGATTTTATTATTGTTGGAAAGTACTGGAAATATGATTAGAATTTTAAACAAAGAATGCATATAATTTTTCTCAGTGTAAATCCTTTTGAATATACACTCAAGATATTTCATTTTCATATTGAATGTAATTCATGCCTACCAATTCCATCGTTTGCATGCATGGCCGCACCATTTCCATGAGTTTTTCTATCACGGGTGTTACTAAATCAGTCAATTCACAAATGTGTTTTCTTTTAAAAAGAAATAATCTAGAAACTAATTACTGACTTTAATTTTTTTTGAAACATGTTTATTTACAGACTGACATCTTAAACTGTTAGTAACATGTTCAGTAATTCATAATATGAATACACCGATAACGCACATGGACTTTCGCACTTCCATCTTTTTCTACAACATATGTCATTCTTACTATCAAACAGACTTTTCTGTATTTTTCATGCATAGAATTTTATAAATTTTAGCATGTAAAGATAGAGTTTCTGGTATTGTCAAAAGAATTTTTGCACCACTTATACAACACCCCTCTTTACTCAAGGTTTCTTGTTTTCAGTAAAGTTGTTAGACTCCTGCAGTCCTCAAAGGCACTGTTGTGCAGAGTAATTAAAGTTTTGTATAAATTTTAAAACACACATGCACACACCCTCACACATACACATTATTACAGTTTTCTCTTTAACACCATATTCTCCATGACGACGGAGAAAAAAGACTCTAAATCCTATCAAGTAATAATTTTATCTTGGGATATATACCTGACAAAAGGAAGCTTGAATATAAGGGAATGAAAAGGCCTTCCTTATGAAGTAATGAGCTACATTTATTATGTACTCAAATATTTAATGACAAATCAAAATTATTTGAAATTCATTAAATGGGTAACGTTTTCTGTTCGAGACTAACTGTTCATGCTGTGTTCATGTTTGAGACAGACGAATGATTGCAATTGACTTGAAGGTTTTTTAAAAATCGAAGTTTTTAAAATTTAAAGATTCTCATGTGTCTTTTCACCTATAAATTGAATGACCAGATTGACAGTACTAAGATTAGTTTCAAAAGGCTCATTGTTAACCTGTGACAGGTTTTTATACTTTTATACTAAAGCTAGTGAAGCTTGTAATTGCTCTCTTCATAGCTTTGCTAAAGAAGAAAATATAGGTTACATTTAACTGTACATAAATATTACTTAATATCATCATTTATTATTGGGGAAAAAAAGATCTGGATGTTGAAATGCATGGCACATGTATGTCATTTCCTGATCAGTATTTAGTCAATAATGTCATATTGTTTTACCTTTAAGAATTAGCTCCTATATAAATCTATACTAAAAAAAAGTCTAAGATTTCTAATGATTTACGGAGCGGTCTTAAAAAAAAAAGATGTTTGACCACAGAGAGTGAGATATTTGACATGTGGATGAGATATTGGACCGCTTATGTCACACTGTGGGTGGGATCAGCTAAATCTTTTGCTGTATTTTCCTTGCATTTAAATGAAAATATTTTTTAATGAGATTTTATGTTGTATTCATTCATTTTGATAAGTGTAAATAAATCAGACATTATTGAAAAATACAGGTTAATGTAAATAAATAGGATATTACTGAAAATTACAGGTGGGTGACAATTTATTTTACTTGTTAGCTCACCTGAGCTGAAAGCTCAAGTGAATTATGATCACATATTGCTCAGCATCCATCTGTCTGTTTGTAAACTTCTAACGTTTTTGACTTTAGAACCATTGGGAGCCAGTTTCAACCAAATTTGCCACAAAGCATCCTTTGGTCACATAAGGGGATTCAAATTTGTTCAAATGGAATATGCAGACGTTCTTAAGTTGTGTGGATTCTTTTCTTTTTTTCTTCGTTTGAGAGACCAAAAGGGGTCTGACGCCACTTGTTACACTAGGGTCCAAACCTTTTATGAAAATTTATATAAAGGGTTTTTTGTTTTGTTTTATTTTTTGTTTGTTTGTTGTTTTTTTTTTAAGATAAACAATTTACATGGCATTGTTTCGCTTGCATGGTATCCTTTTACTTGTCTTAGAGATGATATAGACTTAATTGGTATTGTGCACTTTGAAGGATACAGTAAAAAGTTGGGGAGCTTTTAATATTTCATTTTTGTTATATTTCTATTGACTGTATTTGATGATGGTTGGGTCTGCAAACCATTATTAAAAAAGTATACATGATCAAGTTACATTTGCTAGAGCCATAGACTATTGTATTTCAAAAGATTATTAAATATGCTTGGATAGAGATTTATAGGAACGATAGATTTTAATTATTAATTTGTTTGCCAACAATTAATGAATATTAAGTTTTTTCTATGTCTGATTAGCCAATCAATGACCTCTTTAAATATTTAAAATGTTGAACTAAATTAGATGATTTTTTACAAGTTATTTGGTCACATCTTAGTCAAACTTACTTTAAATATAGCTTTTAAGGTAAAGGTATATTTTGACCTGAGAAATTCCAGTCCGAGAGTTTGATCAGTTCCTCTTTTAGTGAAACTACTTAAGGTTTTGTCTGATTCAATGTCAGATAGATCTATCATATTACAGTCTTAAGTGTAGCTGCATACCCAGTAACCTAACACTGAACTGTAACCATTATGTAGTGTTTTCTCTCAGATTTTTATTCAAAGGAAATCACCGGATTCTGGCTGCCAGATGATTGGAATGATTCTGTAATACCTTGAAGCTGAATAATTTTCTTTAACATAATGACAGAGAGCTAAAAATATTCTGTACTGTAACAACTCTGTAATGATAAAAAGCTGAAAATGTTCTTCATTATAAAAATTTTCTAATGCTAAAAATGCCCAATTTGTATTTTATTGACAAATCATTTATTTAGTGGCTAAAAGTGTTCTGTACCAGAACTCTGTAATTTTTAAAGACTGAAGGTGTTCTGTATTACAAAGTCTTTGTAATTCCTCAGAGCTAAAGGTGCTTTGTATTACAGTGACTGGAATTCCTGACTGAAGGTGTTCTGTAATACAATGTCTATATAATTCCTAAAGACTGAAGGTGTTCTGTATTACAATGACTGGAATTCCTCAGGACTGAAGGTGTTCTGTATTACTAAGTCTTTGTAATTCTTCAGAGCTAAAGGTGTTTTGTATTACAATGACTGGAATTCCTGACTGAAGGTGTTCTGTAATACATTGTCTATGTAATTCGTAAAGACTGAAGGTGTTCTGTATTACAGTGACTATGTAATTCCTCAGAGCTGAAGGTGTTCTGTATCACAAAGTCTTTGTAATTCCCCAGAGCCAAAGGTGTTGTGTATTACAATGACTATGTAATTCCTAAAGACTGATGATGTTCTTAAAATGACTGTAATTCCTAACGACTACCAGGTGTAGGTGTTCTGTATTAAAATGACTCTGTAATTCCTCAGAACTGAAAGTGTTCTGTATTACAATGACTTAATTCCTTATTGTTGAAGATAGTTAAATATATTTGATGAATCTGTAAGATAAGGCATAATGGTTATATGTACTGCAATGGCTGTACTTATTTTTCTGTATTTGGTAAGTCTAGTAGATTACAAGCATTTGTAATGGTATGTAATTCTGGTGTGTTTTGTTCTGCATTGTATAGCACATCACTGTAATGATGTTCAGGTGTGCAAGTATTAGGGAATGTTGTAGAAGCTGGCATGTCATTTTTCCTGCTAGTCTGCAACATCACCTAAGTCAGATATTGTTTCCAGTACCAAAATAACTCCTGAATCAGGTAAAAAAAAAAGTATCTCTGTCATCAGGCAGGTTTTGTTTGATGGAAACAGACATATTCTGCCATAGCTCTCCCATTTTTTATGTTCCTCCATAGACTTGTGTGCTTTGGTTAAAGAGAAATGGACGCAGGTTATGTTTGTTTGCAATTTCATAATGGACAGCATGTGTAGTCAAATATTCCTCACTTTTTTGGTCTCCATAAGAGGAATGCATCTGCATCAGCATTGATTTTAAATTACCAGTAGACATGTATCAGGGAGATGTATTGAAAATACTGCCTCAGAGCTGTTAAAAACTTTCACCACTGTTAATATTGTAGAAGATTGAGGGAGAGAGGAAAAACTTCTGTGGACCCTGAAGTTTTCATTTTCACAGTGGTGCTAAAATAAAATGCAGTCTATGCGAAAGTCACCGGACCAGAAAAATTTGGTTCAGGTCGGTAAAAAAGTTCAGGATTCCGGACCAATTGTCCGATGAAAAAATAAGGCCTAAAAATCTTAATTTACATGTACATATGGTCTTATTGTCCACACATATCCTTTATTCGATCCATTTAGCAGTAATGCATGATTAATTTTAATCTATAACAACCCTGTCATGATCGTTTATTTCTAATTCGAATTTCCTCTGTCTTGGAATATAGATCTCTAGATAGCTCATACGTAGATTCAGTTGTGGGGAATAATTTTCATTATTAAACAAGAGTAACCGTTTTGAGTTAGTTCAGGAAAGAAATAAATATATTTTAAAGTGCATTTTAAGTGTAAAAAAATCTTTGACACTGTCTATTTCGTTCGTATGTGTCAATTAAATAACCAGAAAAGAGAAAATTGTATGCAATTGTATACTACCTTTCAAAAAGGAAAATTATTAATAGTAAGTTTGTTCATTTCAATAAAATCATTTTTAGCTCTCCTGAGCCAGAGGCTCAAAGAGCTAATGCTATGGCCATTTGTGCGGTGTGCATAAACTTTTTAGAATATGGGCCATAACTCAAGAACCCCATGGCCAAT